CTACTCGCCCAATACTCGGCTCACTCACTCAGTGGGTTACTCAGCTGGGTGAGTAGCTGAACCTTTCACTCGACTCGGTGAGTGAGGCCAATACTCAGTTACTCTGTAAAAACCCAGTGAGTACTCGGCTGTCACGTGTAAGATATATGCATTACGTGAACAGTCCCTCATACGATTAATACTGTTTTATGGTTACAGTTGTAAGTTAACTTAAAGTATTACATTTATCAGCATCACTCTACCATCTCTAATAAGCTGTGAGAACGAATCACGTATATTCCTCTATCTAAGTACCACGATTATCAGAAGATTATCAGAACACTATATTATATATGCTCAAGAACATCTTTCCACCTTGCTTGATGAGGCCGGCCAGACCTACTAATACCTAAAGTATTTATAGGGTCTTGACAAGTAGCTTGAAAGATATCAAGTAGATCTCTTCCAGTCTTCCGAGGGCGTTGGATAGGCGTTGGTGGCGAGGACGGCATATCCTTATCTTCATCGTCATGAATAGTTGGAAGTATAGGCTCCTCATTATTACCATCTTCTCTTATATCTTCATTATCTGGGATATCGTCATCTGGGATGTCGTATAAGGTCTCGTTAAGACGGTCAGCCCTATCTCTTTCTTCACCTTGTTGGTAGCGCATTTGTCGTTCTTCATGTGCAGCTTGTGATAAGTCTTGCTGTTGCTGTGGCCGCTGAGGATTAAACGGAGGATATTGTACCTTTGAATATGTCTCTCGGATATGTGTATTTGATCGTGGTTCTTCTTCATCGCTGATATATTGTAACTCGATAGAATTGCACATCCGTTGTCGTTGTGCCTCATACTCTTCTTCGACTTGCTCCTCAGTCATATCAACGACGTCCATCATATCTGCAAGCTTGTCACGATGACCTTGACGATTCTTGTATTGTCGAGAGTAATATATAAGCATAATACTCTTAATCGTCTCAGGATTAAGTTGACCACGTCGGTGGCCACATACGTCCCTTGCGGCACTAAAGACTCGCTCAACTCCAGACTCAGCAGCAGGAATACAAAGTATATCACGAGCCATTGCTGATAGACCAGGAAATTGCTCTTCCTTTTGTTGCCAAAATAGCAATATCTTTGTGTAGATATGTGCTATACAAGTTAGAATAAGATTATCAGAAGATTACCAGAAACTTACGAGCATCAAGATAGAGATCAGCCTCATTCACATATTCCTCTCGCTGGCCCCGAGTCCCATTTAATGTCTGACTTTGCTGCAATACTAAGGCTAATGGATCCATATCTGCATCTCGTAATCCTGATTGACTCGCAACTCGCACTGTAGAGTACTGCTCTTTATAAAGAGTCCTAAACTGTTGTTCAAACTCTGTCTCCCAATTTCGTATTGAAAAGTCAAGCTTGCAAACCTTTTTGTTAAAGTGTGAGAGCTTCACACTAGGATTTAAGATACTAGCAAATGCGAAGATAGATCCAGTATTTGTGTATAGCTTGTTATAATACTTCCTAATCTTCTTCTCTGCAGCATCGATTGCTAAAGTCATCTTTGCTGCCCATGGATATGTCTTATGCCGTAGCCGGTGCCGAGTTCCTTCAAGCGTTGATAAGAGTTTTTGATATACTCCAAGTGTATAGCAGACAGTAGGTCCGGCTGACGATCCAATGTTTGTTGTAAAGAAGTTGAATGGCCTTGTAAGATCAATGATGTATTCGATGTGCTTCCATTCTAGCTCGCTAAGTCTGAACATGTGAGCACCATGATCGCCTCGAGTATATTGATTGATTGTTGACTTGAGTTGCTGTGCTCGCAGAAGCATATGGCATGTCGAATCCCATCGAGTTGATACATCTTGAATAAGTCGAAGAAGCCTCTGAGATGATTGACCCCGGTTCATGTTTGCCTTTTGCAAAGTCATAAACCTGTTCCTTCGAGTTTGACTTGAATTAACAAAGATAGTGAGCTTCCGGAGCTATGAGATATTAGAAAAGACTACCAGAAGTTTACCAGAACTAACAAGAGAATATATACCTTTCCAAGTGTAAATCCAATACCCTTGTCCTTCTGCAACTTTGCAAGGCCCTCCATCTGATTCTCTTCTTCCCAGTTCATTAAGATCTCTTGATTTGTTGGCGTAATCCGGATTCGACCAAGGAGAGCACTAAGGGCAAGTTGAATAACCTGAGCTAGGCAGGGTATGTGTTGTACTTTTCCTCCAATGAAATGCTCGTTGTCTGCAATACTATTAAGCATTATTTCCACATCTCTCATCATTGAAGTGTTGTTTGACGCATTATCAGTCGTAATGGATATAATTCGTCCTTCTAAATGCTGCCTTGTGATAACTTTTTCAAGTATTCCACATAACTCAGCACCAGTATGCTCTGTATATATAGGTTCAAACCCAATCAAGACCTCTTGCATTTTCCAATGACGGTCGATAAATGATGCAATAACACCCATAAATGAAAGTCGAGTAACACTTGACCAACAGTCGAGCGATAATGCAATCTTTGAACCAGGAACAACATCTTGTAGCATCTCTTCTTCGATTTGTGTGAGCTTTGTTGTTAAGAGGTTTCGAATAGTTGTTGCTGAGGGTAGTGGATAGTGAGGATTCTGTAAGATAGCAAGCCTTTTCCATTCAGGATCCTCGACTGAGCGGAACGAGCTATGAGTTGAGATAACTGTGTATAGAACTTGTTCGTAAAATGCCTCTTGTGTGAGAATATGATCCTATTATAGATATTAGCCTATATAATTCTGGTAATAATCTGGTAATCCTTACCTGTTGAGGTCGCATCTGATTGATTCGCATTTGATAGAGACTATCCTTACCCATCCGTGACTTCTTTTTGCAAATGTCTGATGCAAGATGTGTTGCCATAGACTTTGGGCCAGCAGACTTGATTGCAGGATGCGTAAGGGCCTTCGAACAATAGGTACAAATGACACATGGTTCTCCAGAAAGCCGGTCTGCTCCTTGGTGATAAATTCTCCAGTATTGAGAACTCCGGTTGGTTGAATCCCATGCAATCTTCGTAAGGAGTTTTGTAGTATGATCTGAGTGTTGTTCATACCATCGTGATAGCTTCCACCACTCAATGAATACATCGTGTGTATCCTTAGTCCATTTGATGAATTGGTTTAATTTGCCAGTATATTCGAGGCCCGCAGGGATTTGATTTAATGAAGGTAGTCGTTGAGAAGAGGGAAGAGAGTCTGAGAATATATTAGAAATAGGATTGTCAGAGTCAAACAACTCTGAATATTGCGATGACATTTGGCAAGTAGCAAATTGTTTGATTATCAGAAGATTACCAGAAGTCTGGCTACGATGAAATACTTAAATCTCTATAGCCCCTATTCGCGTCGGAAAATCAAATACTCCATTTCTCTCCTCTACTCTAACTCCAGAAACAACATATCCTGTGCAGCTGATACCTTAGCCCACTTTTCCTTATCAAATTTCTTAGAGTAGACAAGTAAGAACGCCTCTTTGAAGCTAGAACTATGAGTGGAGACTTGTAACCATCCGTTGTCGACAAGATTGTAAGACTTTGGGTACCACTGCGCAGGTCCTGGTAATTGGGCCCACTTTCCAAACTTCCAAGCTGTAAAGTTTGTCCAAACTGCCTGCTCGTACAAACAGAAATATTTATGTGGTGGGATAACGTTGTGAAAAGTGCTATAATAAACAATTAGTATCTCTAGAAGATTGCTAGAATGATCAGAGACGTACCCTTCTTCTACATCAATCCATGGCATATATTCAAAGAGATGCTCAGGCTTCTTTCTCAGCTTTCCAGCCTTTCTCGTATATGAGCGGATACAGCTATCCCAGAAATGTTGCCACTTGCGGAAATTGGACTCTTCATGGGCCTATCAACCGTTAGTATTACCAGAAGATTACCAGAAGATTACCAGACTATGAGGTACCAACATCAATGCGTGCTTGAGTTAAGAGAGCCTGGATGCTAGCGATCTCTTCATCAGAAAGCTCATCTGGTAGAACAGCCTCGTCATTTAAAATATCGTCGCGCCGTAACATAAGCTCCAACTCTAAATCGTCTTCAACCTCAGTATCCTCCCATTCGCTGTTATGATCGTCATCGATTGGGATACTGGTGATACCCTCAAATGCAGCAAGCTCAGACAGAAGTTGTGGCGGAGTAGATGGTGGGGCTTGTGGAGAAGAAGAAGGGGCGCTAGTATTCTTGACTTTCTGATTCGCAATGCAAGATGCATGGGTGCCCTTTTCAGTCCTGTTTATAGTTAGATTAAGGCTACCAGAGATTACCAGAAGGAACTTACCGAACACGAATACGCTCAACCTTCAATTCATTCTGTAGACGTGTCTTGTCTTCAGCAGAGGCAGCGATATACTTTGCAGACTTGTATAACTTCTTTAAGTAGTAGCTCAGATCGCCATGGTCAGCCTTGAGTGCTAAATGAACAGCCTTCTCATCTTCAGTAAGGTTGGAGACGCGGTTGCGAGCTTTGATAGTATTCAAATTAGTGGAGAGTTCTTCAGGTGCCTTGCGTTTCGCCATGCTAAACACGTGATTAGCAGAAGATCATCAGAAGTTCTGACTGTAGAATCAAGATAATAAACTTACTTGAGGTCCTAGTGAAGAGGTAAAGCGCAAAAGAGAAGAAGAATGTGTAGATCGGAACGTAACCAAGGAAGGTGGTTGGTTGTAAGGTTGTTGTTTTTTTAAAGTTGCAAACAATTATATTCGTCAAGGAATATTCACCTGCAAATAATTACTGTTCTAAACAACACTACAACGCGTACCTTCAAATAAAACACATACCTTTCAACCTCTACCTCTTTCTTTACTCTTTCTACAACATCCTTGCTACAAACTCACTGTAAGTACATATATCTTTTGATCTACTTCTTTGTCTTGTGTATACTTCACTAACTCATCTTAATGTTAGCAAATGGCTCGTATTAAGCAAACTGCTAGGAGATCAACTGGCGGCACAGCACCAAGGATGCCACTTGGATTACAGGCTGGCTCTAGGCTTGGTGGAAAGGGAAAGGGAAAGGAAAAGGCTGTGCGCACAGCAAGAAAAGCTCCAGTTCGCTCATCTCAAGCTTGCAACAATCATGCTCAGAAGGCCATGCGCCGTGCAAAGTCTGGTAAGAGGATTACCAGAGGATTACCAGAACTCTCTAATAAACATATAGGCACCAAGGCTCTCCGCGATATCAGAAGACAGCAACTTGATACTCGCCTGATTATTCCAAAGCTCTCATTCCAGCGTCTTGTTAGGGAAATCGCACAAGACTTCAAGTCCAATCTTCGCTTCCAGCAATCTGCTATCCTAGCTCTCCAGGAAGCTGCCGAATGCTTCCTCATTCGAGAATTTGAGAGTATGATACTTGAACATAGTGACAGGGACATACTAACAGTTATAGTGACAAATCTCCTTGCTATTCATGCGAAGAGAGTGACAATTCAGGCAAAGGATATGGTATTGGTTCGGCGTTTGCGGGATATGATGTTTAATCATGGAGCTGTAGGCTTAATCGATGGAAATGTCTCTCACCCAGGAATGAAGGTTAGATAAGTTCTGGCAACCTTCTGGTAACCTGGTACCTAAAGGCAAAGGTTATAGTGTGGAATAGGATATCAACGACATGGGAATGGAGTTATTGAGTTATGGCGTTTTACGATATCGATATCAATGTGAAGTCACGATCACACCCCCTTTTCAATGACTAATCAAACACGTGATATAACTGGGTTGCCAAGACCTATACTAGGTACCCGGCAAGTGAGTAATCCTCATTCAACAATACTCGGGATATGAGTAACTCAGCTGGGTGAGTAGAAATTCTACTACTCGACTCATGAGTACCCAGTGCGCAGCCTAGCCGTAACGTATCGTTGGATAAGGGGGTTGCAATGCATCAACTCCTCGTGCAACTCCGCTAATAGAGCTGGTCGCAATTGCGGGTAGAACTCAGACCGCGCAGCGGTTGCATAATCAGAGTTATAGAAGAACAGTTGATTGTAACGCTCTGGATTCGGATCTTGCGAACCCCGTATTAATGGACCTTGCACATGCAGCAGCTGCCCGTGAATTGAGACCAATCGCTCTCCCATATTTCCTCCCTGGATGTTATCGAGCCGAGTGTCGTGATTGTATTTCGTCGATACCATAGCGAGTGCATTATTATACGACAGAATGTAACGGCGAAAATGCTTCGCCTCAGGAGTTTGTGAAGTGTAAAGCTGATGCAATGCTGGAGGAGGGCGTTGCAACGGATAGTAGTCTGGCACTGCGCCATTTAGACAGCACTTGCGACCAAATAACGGTCCATCTGAGTCCTGGCCAACTTTCATATCAATGAAGAATAAAGCGCCACAATACTGACACTCGAATGTCATAGGGCCGCAGTCATGAGGTGGAGCATCAAACTGGTAGCTGGCAATAAATGCAGGTGGCCATTCTCGATTGCGAGCCCGCCGAGCGACTGCGTTTGCAGAGTGATTTTCGTAGATGGTTGCAGCGGCATTGCGAATAGGAAGCGGCTGTTGCAACTCTTGCAACGGCCGTCAATGGCATCATAAATTGATGTTAGGGAGCTATTCTGATGCTTAGCAATCTAAGATTTAATAAATTCAGACGAAGTAGCCTCAATTGGGTTGTTTGGTGTCCTAGAAGCCTAAGGGAGGGACTCTCGTGTAGGTGGCCGAGACGGTGTTGGAGTCTGTAATTTCACATCTAACTTTGAAATCACGATGTCTAGGCTTCAAGAAACAAGCCCGGCTGAGGTTAAGGCGGTATTTTCTCACTTATCGCACCCCCCCTACAGTCGTATTATCACCACAACTGGCCGTCTCACTGTCGCTAAACGTTCTCGCCACCGACTGTTCTCGTCGTCGCCGGATGAAACCCCGCATGTGTAACTCAGCTTCTGAGTACAGGGCTGGGTTGCACATGCGGGGTTTTGCCGTACTGAGGGTGGGAATGCGATGTTCGATGATGTCTGTGACAGGCATGTCCCTGACCTTCTCACAAAAGACTTCAGGGAACGTGTAATAGGGGCGTGCGAAAAGTTCCTTTTGCTCCTTCACATAAATGCCACAAATTCCGGACCAGGCAAATTCAACGCTGGTGGCAGTATCATTGGGCTCTCCACTTCATCAAATAGATCACTAACGTTTTCCTCGTCAGGATTCTGGTCATCTCCTGCGAGGATGTTCCTACGTAATAGAGGATCCACATTATCACTATCTCCTTCCTCGTCATACTCATATTCTTCTTCTTCATCGCTGCTGCTTTGGTGATCGGTTTGGGAATCTTCTTCGCTTTGGGGATCAGTCCGGGGATCATCCTTAGTTTGAGAATCGTCATCTGTATTTTGCTGAGGTACTACTGGTCCATTTTCCCTCCGAATCCACGTATCTTCTTCCTCTGCACGCAACCTATGCCGAAGGTTTAGATCTCTTGGTAATTAGATGCGTCTAATCTAGCTTCGACATAAATCTATGTCCACTCAGCCCGGCTTCGTCTCTTTCTTTCGTAGGGAACCGGTGCTGTTGTGACCCCAAATCCTCAAACTCGGCTTGGACCCTCTGGGCCCAATTATCAGTCCCTACGTAGCCAATATACTTCTTCGCAACGCCAGATGCCTGTCAAGCTTCTGTATGACCTATTTCATCAGCTACCATATCTGTTGCGAAAGATTTTGTAAGAAAGGTAGCTGTGACGGATCAGTTGGCTATGCATACCAGCTTTCGAATAACTACAAATGTTAAAAGTTTAGAATGCAATATTCTAATAAAGTATTACCCACATCATCAACAAGTAAAAGCTAGCTTATTTTTTTCTCATATCAAAATATCCGTATACCCTCACAGCAGCGGTTAAAGTCCCCTAATTACCCGCCCCCCAACCGAAACCCCACGCCTCTCCCACCCCTCCTAGCCACCGCTCTGCCCCTCGCCTGGAACATTTACACCACAATACAACCCTGCCTCTCACGTCCGCCCTTGGCACATCTCACGTTACACAGCCTTGAGATAAAGCTCCGGTTTAGGCCCGATGACCGGCGCGACGGACAGCTGAGGATGTCGTAAAAAGTAGATGAGATCAACCGCGGTTGGGAGACGGGTATACGTGAAGGGTGTTGGGTGTTGCAACCACCAACATCGGTGCGAGCGGGGAGATGGTGCTGGTGCCGGTGGGATGGCGATGTCGGTGCTGAGAGTGTGATTGTGGGATGTTGGTGTCCGAGAGGCAGGAATGGACAGGTGGTGAGTGGGTTTGAATTTTATATGAGATCTCCCGAGCTGAGCTGTTGGGGCTATCTATATGCTATCGCCTGTATCTAAGCTGTCTCTGGGCCTCGTGGCTAGCCATATCCTGCAAATAACTTCCAATCTTCAAGCCTGCTTCCTCTATATCTGTCTGTTTTGATAGTTAGTATAGCTTAGAAATATTAGTCTGGCCTCTTGCCATAGCAGAATGTCCGAAATAGCAAAAATAGCCCAATATAATCCTCAAATCCACCATCAACCTAGCAATTTTGACCTCAAACCACTCCTGGTATCCCTCGCCTCCTGAACACCCACAATCCTTCTCGTCCACCTCACTTCCTCCCAGTCAGACTTGCGGATATTATCCAGATGCAACACCAACCCTGTTCCTCCTACCTGTGCCTTCAGCCTTCCTAAACATCTCACCATCCCGGGCTCTTCAATATTTCCAGCCAAAAGCTCCCTACTTTCTCTCTCCTGCAACGCTGATATGCGGTAATTCGCTAATACGCCATTCACGAAAGGAGGACCGTTGTGAAAAATATCCGCAAACTGGAAAATCTGCTTGTGCGTCCCATCCCCTCGAGATGAGAAAGTTACGCGGCAAAAAAGCTCAATGATGACGTCTTGGTTGAGGCGGTTGCAGAAGGAGCCTGCTCGTATGCATTCCCCAATGCGAAAGCATGTGCGGAGTATTGTGAAAGTTGTGAGGCCTGGGATGACGGAACCAGCGGAGAGTTTTTCTGGAAATGGAGAGCGCGCGAAAGGTGTGAGAGGGATATACTCGTGAGTGTCATCATTAGCTGACCGGGGACAAGATGACCCCGAGGTCACTGGGAGCGCGGTTGGTAGAGCCTCATTGCGGAGGGACTCAATGTTCTCTGGCACAGCAGGATTATGGCCGAGAAAGGACCAGTCTTCTGGCTCTGCTAATGACTCGACGCTGGGCTGGACTCGTAGCTGATTGCTGTTAATTATATTGTCACTGTGCTTGATCGACGAAGAATAGGTAAGCTTCTCATCATATACTTCCCTATCCCGGGATTTCACGTCGGACCCAGTCCAGTTGCTTGGAGGTGAATGGGTCTCGATGATCACCGGATTATCCTGTTCTGCCAGGTTAACCAGTTCGGCTTCATCTGTATCATCCATGAAATATTCATCGTCGGTGCTTTGCAATCTCAAAGAGGATCGGGAGGCATTCTCGAGCTTGGATTTGCCGCCGTTGTTAAGAGATGTGGTTGCTTGATGTCGAACATGTCGAGCATAGTTATGGACGTTCTCATGTTCCACCATAATTTCCATCAAATCGTCATCAGCAATGCCGTCATAAAAATCGTCGCTTCCATGCTCAATGGGACACTGTGCGGAAGAGTTTTGAGGTAGCATACGAGAAGTTGCGAGTATTCCGGGCAAAGCAAGATCGTCTGTATCGAACTGAGCGAAATCTTCGTCGTCTAAACCTTCATCCCAACCTTCGTGAGCTTCTGCATGGTCCCTGGTATTTGATGAATTATCTATTTCAGTACCAAAGGCGGAATCTCTGTAGACGCTAGAACTGACTTCCAAAGAGTCCGAATGATTTTGCTTGGGCGTGTTGTTGCCATAAGCTCGAATTTCTATGGAGCAAGATATATTGGCAGTTTCGTCAAAAATATCTTCAAAATCGTCTTCTGGTTCTCCAAAAGTTGCATGTGTATAAGGTGTTTGATGAGACACACCCTCGTATACTTCATGCTCGACTGGTGACAATGCATCGTCGGGCGCTGGCCAAGGCTGAATGTTAATCTCCCCATTTCTTATACTTTGCTGGTGGGCAAATGAGTGTGTCTCTAAATTCGCCGTGCTCGTGGGTGGGTTCAATGACGTGGCCTGGCCCAACATGGCCTGGTTCAATTCCACATCGACAGCAGGTGTTTTGAACATAAACGCGGCCAGTTTTTCAAGGGTGGTTTGTGCCAACCCAACATGCCCAGCTTGAGCAACCTTGTCAAGTGTTGAAGGTGCATTTATTGTAAATTCTGTGCTCTTCTTGAGATGTGCCTCGTTGTCATATGACCGTTGCGCATTTGGTTTGCTGACGCCTGTGTTGGGGAAAACTTTGGTCTGCTTTGACAGCGCTGAATTCGTCCTTCGTGAGGCAGATTTCTTCGGATCAAGCGACAAGGATGGCTGTGGTAAAGTGTGCTCGTCGGGTGTAGGTATATATGCGAATCTTTTCGAAAGCGGGCTATCGTCTTTACACCGTGGTTTCTTCATATGTGTCGTAGGTGCGCTTTTGTTTCGAATGGAAGCCGTTGACCGCCGCTTTCGCTTTTGGGGAAGTTGGGAAACAGGCAATGGATCATCGTCCTGAGGGATATCGTGAAGCGCGTCGCCATTTCCCCCCCAGCTTGACTTCACAGGCTCGTTGATGGGAGTGAATGATGGCACTCGATAAGAGGGGGGTGAACCACCAGGCTCCAAATATCTAAACCGCCGTTAATATTATGCGACGGTATTTGGTAGAACAGAGCCTCAACTCATTCAAATGGCGGTCATTTTCAACAGAACTTGGAGTTCTGACAGCTGTCTCATCCCATCCCTGGTACCTTGATGGCATTGTCAAGTCAACTTTGCATGTAGGCACTAGGGCAATGAAGCTTCAATATTATACACACAAGGTTAATCAATTCAACAGCTGCAAATCCTACGACTGATACGCCGTAAACCATACAATAATACACTTGTGATGTGCTTTGGGAAGTTTAACGGTTGGACTTTGACGTTGGAGATGCCAAGCTACCCCGCCACGGCCTAGTACCGCCCTAGCCTATTTAGGCCTTATCGTCGACATCCCAGTGCCAGAACCTTAACGCAAAGTCGCTGGCAGTTGTAATCAATAGCCTTCATCTCAAACACCCTCTTCATTGGACCGAGAGAGAATCCTTGTTAGCTGTGCAGCAATTATCCAACAGGCACGTTACCGCAGCTCATAAACAAGGGTTCACTGCTCCTTCCGATATTGCCAGATAGTGGTCGAGAGCATACCGAACACAAGAATAACAACGATATTGCCTCACGAGCACCACCCACTGCCCTCTCTCTCTTCTCTGCATCTTGAACTGTGTTTGGAACTCTGAACCACAGCGTTATATGGCCGTAGTGGTGAGTGAAGTCCGACTGCGCGGTGTCAACCCACGTGCTTTGTTTGAAACTCGAACATAGGGCCTGGCTAATCTTCAGCAAGCTTTGGATACCACATTATTATCAACAATGTTCAGCTCTGTAAGCTTTCCCTATTTTTCATTAGAATACAGTCGATGTAACCTGGGGCCCCACGATGTTAGAGGCGTGGACGCGAGGTATTTAGATATGCCATATTCCCCGCCGGCTCTCCTATATCCAGTGATATCTACATCCAAGTGGTAGACTCCAGTATGAAGAGTCATATAGAATCGTCCGGTTCTGACAAGAAACGATGGCTGTAGAAAAAGCCATACTCCTCGGTTACGGTCGCCATTGAGCGCCTCACAAGTGAGCAGTTCGAGGAAGATGACCTGAGCGGGATCCCGGATCTAGTTGAAGCAATCGGTTTGCAAGCAACAGGGCCTGCGGAAGCCGCGAGAGCTATCCGGAAGAAACTGAAGTATGGCAACCTCCATCGCCAACTCCGAGCACTTACCATCCTTGATGGCCTCATGCAAAATGCAGGGTCACGGTTTCAGCGAGCCTTTGTCGATGAACCTCTTCTTGAGAGATTGAGAGTCTGCGCAAACTCGCCCATGTCGGAGAAAGAAGTACGGGCTAGATGCCAAGTTCTCTTTGCTGGTTGGGGGCATACTTATAAGAGCACGCCCGGATTGGAAAGGATTGCTCGCTTGAACAAGGTACAGTTAACATCAACATTTTAGCAGCCATTATGCTGACATAATAAAGGAACTTCCAAAGCGGAAGCAGGTAGTCACTCAAGATAGATCCAAAGTACTAAAGGAAACTGAGCGGGACCCATTCGAAGACGAGGAGGATGACGAGGCTGAGCAGGCTGCCAGCAGTTCCGCAGCTCCTTCGCCAATCCCCAGAGTGGCAGCCAAGAGCCATAAACCCAAGCCAAGCAGCTCTAGTATCAGCAGTAGCATATTTGGATCAACAACACCAACAAAGTCAAAGAAATCAAAGAAGGGGCCGAAGAGCAAGAGTGGGCGGTTTAACCTTGAGGCAGAGAAAGGCAACATGAAGACCAACATTGCTGAGTCCTCAGTTGCTTCTATCAACCTCCTCAACGCGTTGCAGAGGATCAATCGAGAGGAGGAGCGTGTCTCGGAGAACCAAGCTTGCGTTGCTCAATTTGAGCGTTGCAAATTACTCCGAAGGCACATTCTTCGCTATGTGAGTAACCTCCTCTTGTACTGACTTGATTGCTTATAATATGTGAAGATTCAAAACATTGAAGCTGAAGAATGGCTTGGAGCCCTCATCCAAGCCAACGACCAACTCGTCACCGCGCTCATGACGTTTGAGCAACTGGACAGCTCCATCGATGCAGACAGTGACTCCGACGACGAACTCGCTGAACAGGCACATGCGTACCGAAGTAAGCAATCTGTGTTGGATCTATTGAACTGCGCTAAGAGATGCTCAAAGTGCTGCAAAAAAAGGGTAAATCAGTCGACGGGGCAGCTGCAGAACTTGCTGGTTTAAAAATTAGCCCAGATTCCGCGGCCCCTGCACCTGCGGCATCCCCTCGCACTGCGGCACCACCGGTTGTGGATAACTATGATTCAGTCGAGGAAGAAGACGATGACAACCCGTTCGGAGATGCAAATGCATTGTAGAGTCCGGCGCTGGAGAGAGACGAGCCGAAGTGGTAAGAATCTCCATATGCGACGTTATGATAGTGCTGATAAATACCCACCGGAGAGCAGTGTATTTGGTTGATTCATTTAATCGTCGGTGTTCGCACCGACCACCCTACAGGTGGTCGGCGAAAGCGAGTTGAAGCCCGAAAGCGAGATGAAGCCCGCCAGGGGTCTTGTACATAGCCGAAGAAGAGATTTACACACAAATTATATACGTTTCTCCCTTTCATCTATACACTTGTGACAAAACTGCTTCGTCGTCCTACTTGAAATCTAATACAATGGATGATGCCCTCCAATTCCTCCGCGACAACCCTTCAGAAAAGCCTATAACCGCTGCACGAATATTCAATATAAATGCGAAGACCCTCAATACGAACCTCCGACGAGCGAAACTCAAAGCCCAGGCACCAAACCCTATTTACGGAGGCCAGAATAAGATACTTTCAGAGGCACAAATCAAGGCTATATACAAATATGTAGAGGATTCATATTTTGCGGGCTATGGGGCGTCAAAAGCGATGGTTTTTACAGCAATTGGCCACTTGCGGGCAGCGGAAATACCGCCTAAACCAGCACCTTCATGGCGCTGGTTTCAGAGCTTTATAAAGAGCTCTTCGATCCTCTTTCGAGTTGTCGAAGCCAATTGCACGAGTCCGAGTTACGACCCATGATATTTCTGCGGTACAAGACTGGTTTGGAGTGTATTTGGCATGGTGTACTCAACACAATATCCAGCCACAGGATATTTATAACTTTGGAGACTGGTTTTCGTGTTGGAGTAGCACCAGGGGAGGATGTAATAGTTCCTGTATCTATTACAGAAGTATGTATAATTCAGTACTTGTAACTTAATACAATTAAACTGACACTATTAAAGATGTATGTTCCAATGGCTGAAAACTGCAAATCTATTACCGTGATTGAGTCAACCTGTGCTGTTGGACAAGTGCTTTCACCAATTATCATTGTACAAGGACGACAACATATGGCATCTTGGTATTATGAGAAATTGACTGGCGATGAGCTTGTATTACTTTCAGACTCAGGATATACCAATAGCGAGCTCGCAATGCTATATTTGGAGCATTTTATCATTCATACAGGAGCTGGGCCTGATAAACCTCTAAAGGTCCTCCTTATGGACAGCCATATCAGTCATACAATACCAGAGTTCGTTATACGGGCAACTTCAATGAATATCCATCCATATCCGCTTCCTTCGCATCTTACGCACATTATGCAGCCACTTGATGTTGGTGTTTTTCAACCTTATAAACACTGGCACAAGAAGGCAATTCAATATGCTATGCGTAATCTTGATATTGATTATAATATAGCTTCAATTCTTTCAGGATTTGAACGAAATCCGCCAGCAGACGTTCAAGAAAGGAACAATCATTAGGTCCTTTCATGAAGCTGGAATGTGGCCAATCAATTCTAAAGAAGCTCTCAAGAAAATGAAAGTTTATACGATTTGTGAGCGCACTCTTGATCCTCCACAAATTCCACAGACTCCAACAAAATTTGTGCATTCTGAGCTCAAATTACGGCACTGGCAAAGTAAAATACCATGTCTTTTGTCTAGTCCTTCAGCACGAGAATGGGATTCTTGGGCACGTGGTACAGAAAATGTACTTGTTCAAGGAGAACTGGCTATTCTACAGTATGATTTATTATCTACAAAAGTAGCTAATCAACAGAAGGCGAAGCTCAAAAGCCGCTCTGTCGCTCAAGCAAATACTGGTCCATTAACTGCTAAGGATGCATGGAAAAAGATTAATGACAAGGCTAGAAAAGACAAGGAAATTCAAGAGCGAAGGGCGAAATACAAAGCACGAGTAGTGCTTAATAAAGTCAAAAAAGGAGCTTCATATTCGTGGAGTTGAGGCCCGTAAAGCAGAGCTTTCAAGAAAGCGGCAAGTTAGCCAGATGTTAAAGGCGAAGGAGGAGGTGCCTTCTGATTTACTTATTCCAATTCCAGATCCAGATCCAGAAAAAATTGCGCAGGAATCAGAGCTTCAAGAAGAAGCCAATACTCAATTAATTTCAACGATGGGGTACGAATCACAGGCTGACGACGACGACGAGACAGGATTTATAAGATTCAGTGAATTGGATACAGACCTATTTGCAGACAGGGAGGACGAAAATTTAGACCCAGGGTTGTTTTAAATTTGGGAATAGCTTTAATTTTATCATATGATTCAATCACTCAATTGCTGGTATAGTTGTTTAGATAGTGGTTGTATTAGATTCTACATAGTTATGATATCTGGTAGGCTTCAACTCGCTTTCAGGCTTCAACTCGCTTTCGCCGACCACCTGTAGGGTGGTCGGTGCGAACACCGACGATTAATGCTGGTAGAGCGGAGGATGATGTTATTTGTGGTGCGGATACTATCATTGTTGATGCGACAATTCATTTGGCACGATTCGATATATGATAGTAACAGCGGATTGTTATTAGCGTAACATAGAGTTTGGACCTGGCATTCAGACCCAATAAATGTTTATCTTTTAGTTATCTACTCTTCTCGCCTTTGTCCAGTTCCTATCCCCCACCCCCCACCTCTTCAGTCACTACTTCAGTCACTCATCCCTATCCCCACTACTTCAGTCATTCACCCCCAACTTCCACCCACCAGCAAGCTGGAACCAACGCTTATATACCCCGATAACCCCATCACCCTCGACCCCAAGAAGCCTCATGGCGGATATGGGAAGGTTTCGCTGCAGAACAGCAAGTGCTCGGTTCGAACGCAGCTCGAGACGATAAGTAAAATCCAAAAATGGGTTTTCTTAAGATCTGAATACACAAGTGTATATTCAGATCTTTCTTTTTGCCTTTTTTGCCTTTTTTGCCCTTTTATTGTATTCCTCAAGACATTTTTTTTTGAATTGCTTTGAGGCGAGAGCGAAAATGACCTCCTCGGAGATTGTTGATTTACGACTGTTCTATGTAATTTTGGGTCATTGGATTATGTTATTATAGACGAACAAGCCTATACAGGACGACCTGCGAGAAGAAGACCGGATTCAGGCTGACAATTTCAGTCATCTAATGGAGAACATAGTGCCCCTTTGCCGAGAGATTGCCGCCGCAGAAAGGACCCCCCCTTCGGGAGACCCGAACAGTTGCCCAGATCCAGAAATTTAACCAAATGATGGCCTCTATACGCCAGAGATGTAGGGGCTGGGACAACGGCATAGCCGCGCCGGGACAGTCTTAGAGGAGAGACTATTCAGACCCTCTACCAGAATGGCAGTCTATGCAGGCTAGTCAATTTATTTCGTTCAATACCTCGCACGGGAAACTGTAGCTACCTGAGACTTGGCCAAGGTGGGACCTCTCTCGAAGACAATGAAGTCGCGACAGTCGGCAGGTATGAGGCGCTTTCGGAGTCGGCCATCAGTGCCATCATGTCCACTATGAACCTCCCTTACAACATAATAATTGCGAGCGCCTCCGGCATGGACGGTAGGGGAATCGATCTTCGAACCTGGCCGCGCGGTGCCCATTCATGATGGGGTTGAGAGCATCTTGTGCTCTATACATATAGGGGGGGAGGCTGACCATTGGATCGGCGTCCTTGTAAAGATCAATCCCGGCGACTCACAACGGGTGACAATGCAGATGTTTGATTCTGCACTTGTGCAGATACTTGGGGAACAGGACGTACTTGAAATGATAGGAAATTGGCTGCAACATAGCCACCCGAGCTACCGCCTTCCTGTTTTTCACCACCCCTCCTTTATTCACTACCCATCTCGTTTCTCACTACCTATCTCATTTCTCACCACTTGTCTCGTTTATCACCACCTACCTCGTGTCTCACCACCTTCCCATTTCTTTCCTTCACAGTAACTGCTCCCTCTGAGCACAGATTCTCGTTCATGCGCATATGGCTTTCAAGAGACGAGCTGTATTTTGAGTGGTATAGTTAGTTTTTGTGGCTTCAAATATTTACTGTTCGGGCTTATCCCACCCCATTCCCCACTGCCGACTACGAGTAGTTCTCAGGTTTCGACCGAGATCTATGGTATAATTGAGGTATATTTGCAGCTATAATTTTTGATGCGTTTGTATGTGAACGGAGTCGGTCTGAGCGGCTGCTTCCACAGCACTAACTTGAGAATCCTGTATCTCATCCGCTTCATACAGGCGAATTATTTCCCGCAAAGCCTCCTCCTTCATCTGTTCTTCTCTATCATCCTCTGTGAATCTTCCCCTCTGCTTCATAGCATTGGCCGCCTTCTCCATTGTATCAGGATCAAACCTAAACCTGGCAGCCTCCTCGTCACGCGCAGCCTCAAGAAACTTCCAACTCTCCAGAACATTCTCTACCGCACCCCGAATAAATAGTCCTACCGCAGAGGACCCAATAATTACCATCGCTACGGCCGATGCGATGCAGTTAACTACCGACCGGGTGCCACAGCAGTATATCTCTCCAGGTCCCCAGCACTGATGGACCACACGGCGCAGGGTGAAGATCGCGTCAAGAACAAATGAGGTGTAGTCGATCGCAGTAAAGATGACACTGCCAAGTGCGCATATTTTGTAATTGAATTGATGTGTCGCTTCATATAAAGAGTCTCGCTCTTTTGGAAAATCCAAGTTTGAGGTGTTCGTAACCACCAGGGCTCCAGTACTGATGAAGATCCGTAGATATGTGATCTGAAAGAACTCGGTGAAAAACGAGGTTATGGCGATCGTGATCATGTAAGAAATTTCGCAGGTGAAGAGTTTGTCTGTTGCCCAGTGTGCGGTAGAGACTAATTTATCCAAGCTCTCTCGTGTGAGAATAGAGAGACAGGAGCCGACGAGTTCAGATGCTGATGGGATTTTGATACTGGTTGCCCGTGACAACAATAACAAAAAGTACTCCAAAACGTAACTGATGATCGGTCTCAACTTGACGGGTGAGAGAATGACAAAAATAGAATCGTTGTGGATGCTTTCGACAAACGGCGTGCTGGGTGAAGCGTAAACTTGATGTAACAGCAGCATCGCAAACAGAAAGACCACTGCGGCGTACAGCATGAGCCCCATATTTGATGAACGCAGAGCCACACGCCGTTCTGAGCGTCCGGGATTCATGTTAGGTCAGTCTGAGTGATAATGTAACTTGAGATCGCAGACTGAAGGGTAGGTTGTGTCCATTGAGTGAGAACCTGTGTAGATGGATGTGGAGTTGATGAACTAAACACACGCATGTGGCTATCTATTGTAGCGGGTAACGGGTACAGACAGGCTCGGACAGGCTCATCGTCTGGAAATCTTGTCGGTGAATCACACTCACAGGTTCTATAATACTGTAGTACACCTGCGTTTGATTGTAGAAGGGCGGGCAGCCCCGACAACTTCGGCTAGACTATTTTGGTGTTTGAGAAGTAATTAGAGCTTAACGTAGATGCATAGCGAGTGAAACAACATAGCGAGTGAAACACCTCATAAACCCAACGAACATTCCAACCTAGAACTCAACAAAATTGCAGACAATTAATTGTAATCACTCCTCGTCATCTTTTGCAGACAATGAGAGAACCATCTGACAAGTTCTCGCATTATGAATATCCACTTCCTTTTGAGCGACCTGGTCCTGTCCCTCACCTAGAGTCATGCTTCCTTCTTCTCGAAGACGTAGTTTTTTAGCTCTCTGGCGTCGGCTTAGAGTACTATTCTCGTCTTCAAGTGTCTTGACCCTTAACTATAGAAGGACAAACTGATGCATAATTCCTTGCGTACCCTTTAAAACTGGTCAATAGCGTTAAGAATTGACGTTAAAGAGCTTCCCTAGTGATGAGAGATTCGAGTCTTAATGGATTGTGTCTGTGAACTAGCCTCAATTGGGTTTGTGGGCGTCTTGCAGGTCCATGGTTCAGGTTCACCGTGAGAGGTCCCTAGAGGTGTTGGTGTCTTAAACTTCACATCTAACTTTGAAACGACACTTTCTAGGTTCATTGGAATAAGCCCTGCTCCTCTAAAGCCCCCTATAATATTCTTTCCTGTCATAGCTCCTTGGAATGCTGCGAGAAATGCAGGGAAGAAGTCCTACTTATGTAACGCTGACTTCTCAACGATAGAAGACATAGAGGTTTCTTGCATAAGGTTGACTTGACAGAGAAGGCAGGGGATTAGACACAAAGGCTTTCCAAGTGACACGTTATAGTATTGTAAAGAATACTATATTGAGTTGAGCACGAAGCTCCTATCTAAGGAAATACTATCTACTTATATAGTGGCGTCGTGCCAAAGGGATATCCATGGATAACATGGATAACATAATATCCATCACGTGAGGTTGCAGCCGTAAGCGCTAGCCATAGCACTAGGACTTAGCCGTAACACCCTTCTTGTGGATTGTCTGATGGTGTACTAATAAAGTGGATAGTATATTTCCAATCCACGAGAACGAGTAGGTAATGGGAGCACGTTGGCGCGTGGGTGATAACATGTGCTGGGCTGACAGGATTCACAGAATTCCAACTTGACAATGCCGATTCCGACTCCTGCGGGAGCTTTGTCGGATGCGTTCCATGTCCTCTGCCTGCGCTGCCTTCAGGCCAAAGCTCGTGGCATCAAGGACCACGATTGTGTCTGGTTCCCCGCCTCCTCCAAGTGGGAGTACTGCACTGCGCAGCACTCCACCTGCGTTCCGGTGAGTTCCCTTGTGTGTTACAGCTACGGTAACATGACGTCATGGTTACAGGACCAGGACCTAGTAACGTGACGTGTGAGTCACAGGGGGCAAGCGGGGTAGGCTGCCATGTGATGGGGCTAATGGATAGTTGCAGAAACTAGTGGATATTGGATAGTTGGGCTATCCATGAACTATCCTGAATATCTAGCTATCCGCCAACTATCCAGATTACCCATGAGGCATGATGCCACTATATAAATAAGTAGATAGTATCTCCTTAGATAGGAGCTTTGTGCTCAACTAATATAGTATTCTTTACAATACTGTAACGTGTTACTTGGAAAGCTGTTACAGACAATGTTCTCTTTAGTGGCGTACCTGTATTACTTAGTGGCAATTTCGCATAGATCCTACCTATAATGCCTTGGGGTTCTCAAGCACAGATTGTCCACACCTGTTTACAGTGCTCATTTGTATGGCCACGGCTTTAGCGGCTACATTTACACGTTAATATGTGTGTCTAAGGTGGGGTGCTTGATGAGGAATTTGTCACATGGATTAGGAAAATACCATACGATCTGCAACTTAATGGCACAATACTAATACCGCTATATATTACACAGATTAAAGGAATTAGATGGCCTTATTTGTAAGGATGCCTGTCCCTCAGTGATGGAAAGGATCTGAGTCGGGCAGGTTACGGTCACATGATAAGAGTTAAGGCAGGTTAGCCGAGTCGGACCCGTTTTGGTACTTAAGGGGATTGACCCAACGGGGTCCCTCTCCCTCAGTGACGGAAGGTATCTGAGTCAGACAAGTTACGGTCACGTGGTGAGAGTGAAGGCAGGTTAGCTGAGTCAGACCCGTTTCGGGTACTTAAGGAGATTGACCCAACAGGGGTTCCTCTCTTCATCTTTTTTGTATCCTTCGTAGTAGACCTATAGGATAGCATCCGTTTAGCCTCTGACTCGCACTCTCATATGCTATTACTGTGAGCTGGGTGCCCTGTGTCCTTACATTATTGCTACAATCTACCTAGATAATGTATTATAGCTGCATAATCATGCTAAAGATCTCTTTACTAACTAGGCTATCCTTTCGGTCTATAATAAGACCCTATTACACCCTAATGCTCTTATACTATCTTGGTATCTAGGTCTAGTACAAACCTTACTATCAATTGATACTGTAGACTTTAATGATAGAGGTGGTGATCTTCATTATGTCCTAGTTAAGGAGCTTTAGAATTGCTCACCTACCTAGCTACCATTATCCTTTCTATAGCTTAAGGTTGCTAGGCTTGGTAACGTGACCTAAAAAGTCATGAGGCTAGCAGGGCTAGGCTGTAGTGTGACCAGGCTAGTGGATAGTTGTAGAAACTAGTGTATATTAGATAGTTAAGGTATCTATCAACTATCTAGATTATCTAGCTATCCATCAACTGTAAGTCGTGGCGTATGCAGGGGATGGCGTAACACGGTGAATTTACCCCGCTGACTTCTGATAACTGTAAATAACTCAACAATGGTTCGCTGTAAAAGCCTAGGTGTTGCTGAGCGTGAAACTTTAATAGCATAGGCAATATTAAGCGTCCAATCTAAGAAGTTTAAGAGTGCATATTATGCTAAAAAAGTGCTGGGGCTGCTGAAAAGCTTCTACAACCCTCTATAATTATTACATGTCATCGCTCCTTAGTTACCCACAAGATTGGTTAAGTTATGACATAATTTGTCTATAGGGGTACTCTGACCTTGGACCTCCTTTCACTTCATATATGCTAGGAAACTAGGAGATGGTTCTATGGGATTCTCTTACGTCGACTACAGTTACCAAGCCTGGTTAGTCATGAAAAGTCATGGAAAATGAGAGAACTACACTCCTTTAGCATAAATAGGATTGCCCTTTCCTTAAGAAAGGGCAAGCAGACAATACAGTAAATCGACTAGCACATACTTCTACATCTTTTACAAGCTTCCAAGCATTGATCTTGTTATTCTTTGTTTCTGAAAAGTCAGTGAGGTGCTAACCTTAACTTACCCCTGAGTTCTCAGACTCAACATTTGTTACAACTTGTCTAAACCACTCCACTACATCATACACCTGATTGCTGCGTTGTGAAATAGTCTAAGCTACAACCCTTTGGCTCTGTTTCCTAAGACAGTGTGTTGTCTTAGTAAAATCATCCCTTCCTTGGGTGGCTAGATTCTCACATCTGGTGCACCCACCATTACAGATGGAACTATAAGAACTGTTAGAACTTCTACAGTTCCTACAGTTCCTACAGTTTCTTAGGGCGGAACTTAGGATGGAACTGTAAAGACTGTTAGAGCTTGTACAGTTCCTACAGTTCCTTAAGATGGAACTGTTAGAACCCGTACAGTTCCTTATAGTTCCCTTTGGTACGACACTACTATATAAGTAGATAGTATTTCCTTAGATAGGAGCTTCGTGCTCAACTCAATATAGTATTCTTTACAATACTATAACGTGTCACTTGGAAAGCCTTTGTGTCTAATCCCCTGCCTTCTCTGTCAAGTCAACCTTATGCAAGAAACCTCTATGTCTTCTATCGTCTAGAAGTCAGTGTTATAATATAGTTCCATAGGAAGGATTATGTAACGGGTCATGTATGATTGTTTTAAGCATAACATAGCACTGTCTTGTGGTCTGCTTACTTAGAGAACAATTTTACAGGCAGTTATAGATGATCTGTAGGTAAAGCTCTAGACGGACGAGGGGGACTTACGATACATCCTTACCTGTAAACAGTTTCCAGTCTAGTTATGTTTTACAATGACTATTAATAAGTCTTAAGGTTAGTCATTAAGTTTGTTAGAGTTGATTTACAGTCACTACATTTAGTCACGGGCAATTCTACGTTGTAATGTCGCGGACGTCATCCATAGCTGGCTTACACGTTCTACTTCCGGAAGGTGACGATAACACTACACATAACGTTGTATATCCAGAGGTATTGTGTGATATTAATTAGAAATACTATCTATACTACTATTCTACTACTTGCTACGGGTGGTTACGGGCGTTTACCAGGTTTGGATTTCGTCATATGTTTACGGGTTTAAACACATGACTACTTACGGCGGCAGGCAGAGTCACAAACTGGCGCCTACGGCGCTGGTGCACAATACTCTGGTAAATTAAGCCATCCCTGCCAGACCAACAACGAAGCGCCAGCACCCCCCACTAAATTGAGAGCGAAAGCTATCATGGGTACTAAAATCGCCAAACCGCTGCAGCTCTGAATATAGCAACTGCATGTTCCTTACGCATCCGCCTGGACTTTCTCTGAGGCTCTCACGCATTTCTCCCAGTCTTCCAGGAATTCTTTCCGCTTCAAGCATCTGATTTCGCCATGCTTCTTAAGAGATCGCTTATAACCGCGAGATTGCATGTGACCCTTGACCCCATTATCATCCTCTTCAGTCCAGACCCCGGCGACATTTTTCGGGATTTCCAATCCATTGGCATAATCTGAAAGCAGTCTCTCCGCAAGCTCAACTTCCATTGTGGTAATTTTCAACACTTGTTTAATAGTTTCGATATCAAATCCCTCAACACTACAACGTTCGACGAACTCGTCTACCCCCTCGTTGCATTGTGATTCACTCTGTAATTGCGTTGCCTCTTCGTCATTGTTTTTCTGAGAGGGAGGAGTGTAGTCTATGGCCTCCGACCGAAGTTGGCGTGTCGGAGAAGAACCGAGTTCCTCCGACGAAGATGGCGGGGCAAAGTATTCAATATTAGTTTCGATGAGTTTCTTGTTTTGGGCATTTGGGTGGTCTGGTAATTTTCCATCATTGTTCAGATGGCCATTATAGATATGTTCAGGCGTCGAAGGGATTTCATCTGCCCTCTCTTTGCCTTTCGAGATCCGTGGTCGCTTGCTGTGACTGTGACTGGAAGTAGGCCTCGGTTCCACGACTGCAGATATGCTGTCCTGGTCATGAGGTCGCTTTTGCCTTTCGCGACCAGCAGTCTGGAAGGCTAAGGAAGGAGGCTCCGGATTGTCATCGCTGCTTTCCTCGACCTCTTCTTCAGATTGCCCCTGCTCCTCAGGTTGCTGGCGCACAGCTTCTTCTTCCTTTATTTTTTCCTGTTCTCTTTGAATGAAAAATTCGTAGAAATCCATTAGAAAATCTTCACATATCTGCCGGAGCTCATCAGGCGCACTGGGGTGGGCCGAGGTTTCGAACCCCAATTGGGTCGCAAAGTCGTCCCAGACTTCTGTGCTTTCGATATCGTCAAAATGGGCAAGAAGTGGGAGAGAAGCGGTCCACACGTTGAACAGACGGATTCTACGCTTGGAAACAATAGGCTCAAAGGTAACGGGATCGGGCAAACAATCCCAAGCAAATTCACTTATGCTTTGCAAAAATGCCAATTCTCCATGGCCTAGTGATTGTCGGATCCTCTGGGCTGCAACGTCCTTATTTGCTGATTCTTGAGGTGACACCGTAGCTTGCCGCAAGGTCTTTGGGGTGCGCACACCACTTGAGAGAATATGAGCTTGTTCATGGGTTTGCCTTGGAATAGCTGTCACTGGCGTGGCTGGTTCCGTGGATTTTGTAACAGAGGCACGTTCTTTCATCTCTCTATCTTTCCTCGCAGAACTAGCTGTCACTGGCGTGACTGGTTCTGTGGATTTTGTAGGAAATGTGCGTCCTTTCTCGCAGTTTTTCTTTGCAGATATATGGGTGTCGAAGTCGACAAGCTTGTCGCGATACTTCTGTTTTAGAGCGGTGTGTGCCATTTCATACCTGTAAGTATTGATTCCTAGCTTTAAGGCAACCTGCAACCATCCATCTGCTTCCTCGACTTTTTGAAACCCTCTAAACTCCGGCTTGTTGACCACACTCCAGAGATCATATAATTCAAAATTGCGTCCATACAGGTTGAAGGAAGGTTCAATCTCGCATCCGATGGCGCTTGACAATTCCTTCAAATTCTCCAAGAATTTTGCTTTATCGGAGGAGGCGCCAACTTGAGACTGATCTTTTGAAGTCACAGATTCTGGGGACTTGCTTGAAATGGCCCCGTCCTCGCCTAGTTTGCGGTGACGTGCTGTGCCTCTAGTTTCGGTGGGTGACCTTGAAGACGCAGCAGCGCGAACTGGGGTTATGTAGGTTTTGGGAGTAGAGACCTGTCCCCGATCGGGCTTGGGATTTACCACATTTGACTCTTTCTCCTCGTCTTCTTGGCATTTGCGTGGCTTGAAAACATTGTGGTAATAGTTGCACCAATCGCCTGCTGTGTGCCTTCTGTGCTGTGCCATTATTAGCTGGCCATGTCTTTTGTCGCATAAAGTAGCAGGAATAGCGGACAGGACTACGTACGATATTGGCAAAGACTTCCCAAGCGTAGACCAATGTCCCTGGGGTAATTTTGACAAGGTCAGAATACTCCCCTTCTAGTGTTTCAATGTCCTCCTCTGTGAATGGGACATCCTTTGTGATCGGGGCTTCCTCTGTGGATGCGTGTTCATTTTCGGGCGAGTAAGAAGCGACAGGTAAGGAGGGGCTGCCCGGCGTAGGTCTTCTTGCACCTGAAGCATTCGGTGTAGTTGCGACGTTTTCAGACCGAGTTGCAGATGGAATGGCCCGGCGCGGCCTATCTTCCTTTCTTTTCACTGGCCAGTCTGTACTGTTCATGTCTATCTCTGGTCGAGGTTTGGAAGACAGTTGCTTTATCCAATGGTCACGCCATGATTGTGCAGTATGCCGAGGATTCTACGAAGCATTTAGCTAGGCTGCAACCGAATCCGACACGAAAACATACCTTCTCTGCGAACTGCTCATAGACCTCATTTCCTCTGACAGCAAGGCCAATTCGTTCAGCTTTGGCAACCCAAATACTAATGGCCATGCTATCTTCGTATCTGAAAGGCGTTCGGGTCAATTTCTGTGGTCCACCTGGAAGCCTAGTTTTGCCAGGGGAATTTATTCGATGAGCCTCTAAATCCTCTAGCTCCCCTTTTTTCATACTCTGCTCCAGGTATTTCCACGAGACAGAACTTGCAGGTGCAAGCGTGGGCTTTGCGTGATCCGCAATCAGCACGTCTGCATTCTTTTCCAGCGGAACCACGAAGCCCCCATTGCGCTTTGCAAAGTTAGTGGCGGTTTCTATTTCCGGGCAATGGTAGATTTACCTGTACATTTTTAATTAATTCAGTCCGCGCCGGAACGCGCTGCGAAATGAAGAACTTTTGTCCCTGGAACAAGTCACCACCTCCTGCGACGCCCTCGTAGACGGCTGCAGCCATATGGAACGCCCTTTGGAGTTGTGGACCCAAGAGAAGCGTCCAACTAAATCGTTATGAGGGTTTTATTAACCACGCCTGACGTAGCCTTCGACTGGCGGATAACGTTGGGCAGTTTCAGAGCGTTTGGGGAGAAGTACAAGGGAGAAACCAGATGAAGTCCAGCTGAAACTAGAATAAAGAACGGCTGGCAACCTAATAAATGATTATCCAGCAAGGGAGACTGTGCATTATTTGCACAAAATACTAGGCGGTTTGAAAATCACAGGTGTTGAGGTGCCTGGATGGGTTGTCTGGCTGTCTAGCATATGCTGTCGTAGTTGTGAATAGCAAAGGCTACTTACGTTATCTCCATACTTTTTGATTCACGTCGTTGTTTCGCGCGAATAACGCGTAATCACGTGACAAGGAACACCTTCGTTTGGCAGATCCCTTTGGCTTTCGATCCGGGGTCCAAGAACACCACAGGAATGCTTGTTCACTTGGTCAGTCTCGTTGCAACGTTTATCGATCATGAATGATTTTACTTTTTTGAGATTCTATTTGTCGACATTATGACTTTAGCTTGAGTAACCACTTGGACGTGGACACTTTGACAATCCCCGCGCACCCTTCAAGATGGGTTTGGTGAAGAGTGTGATTTGTCTGGTGCTTTTCATATCATTTATGACATTTGTTTTGTTCTTTGGAAGACTGCCAGCCTTGAGGTCTGTATGAACTGGAGAGACGGTCGATAGGTTCAAAAGCTCATCAGGAACTAGGAGAACCCCCATCGGTGCCTTGCATCGACTTTTCATGATACATCTTCCCAGGTTTCTATTCTCTCTGGATCAAAAAATCAGCAATGGGCGTGTATATGCCTCAGGTGCGGAGACGCTGCGGTTTGTTATGAACGAACGGCACCCTACAGTCCTGGTAAGTTTGGATTTTGTGTGGCTTGTGTACATGCACACCGAAGCCTTTTGTTGTTCAATCTCCTGTTCCTTTAACTATCCATTTGGTCGACAAGCTCAAGGGCTATGTTGGCACTTACTATGAGCTTCGTCGCTCAAGTAACCTCACTGCACAATGGAGGACATGTTACTCTTTCCTATCCTTATAAATCACCTCGTATTAAGGCATATAACCTAAACATGAAGACAGCGTAGCTAACGATCGGGTCTCAGCCTATACTGGCGTCGAATTTCCCTACCAACCATTCTATATTTTCAAGTTCTCGAAATAATGCTGACTTTGATTAGATCCTGTTCATTCTCCTGCTCTCCGTCTCAGAGTACCTCTACCTACCCTTTGTCTTTCCCGCCCAAACTACCGCCACTCAAGCCGTAATGATCCCAATCATCCTCATGCCCTACATATTCCTTTACCTTGCTGCGTACTCGGATCCTGGCTTCATCACCAATGCTACTCACGCAACCCACATGCGCCTCTACCCCTACGACCATGTTAACTTCCACCCATCCGCCATATGCAGCACCTGCGACTTCATCAAACCGCCTCGCTCAAAGCACTGCGCCCTCTGCAAGCACTGCGTGTCACGATCAGACCACCACTGCATATTCATCAACAACTGCGTTGGCTACGGCAACACGCATTGGTTCATCCTCCTCCTCCTCTCCACAACCCTCCTGACCGCCGCCGGCGGGTACCTGGGCCTGATCTACATCAGCGACATCATCAAGGCGCGGTATAGCTCTTTTACTATTCGCGGAATAGGGTACACGTGGCGCGATTATGCGAATTTCTGGCTCTGGGGAATACACATTAAACCTGGTGCTGGCGGTGTCACGCTTCTGTGTGTATTGAGCACCGCGTTAATTGCCGCCTTGGCCGCATACACGCTGTACCAGGTTTGGGCAGGCGTCACAACGAACGAGAGCGGGAAGTGGGATAACACGAGTTGCGATATTGACGATGAGTCCCTTTATATGCGACCTCTAGACGAACAGAGACCGCGAGACGCCGGTGTTGAACCGCGTGTAAAGTGGCCAGTGCAACCAAAGCTCATCAGTATGAGCTGTGAAACCAAGCCGCCGAGTAATGCGAAGAGTCTACAGGGACGGGGATATGGGGAATGGGTGCGTGCGGAGAGTTTGCATGACCTGGAGAATGTCTATGATGTCGGATTCTGGCGCAATATTGTGGACCTGTTTCTTCCGCGCTCAACTTGTGAAACTCGTTACGCTGAAGATTAGGACGGCATTTTCAATGCCAAGTAGTTGGGAACTTGGAGCTGCAGTATATAGGAGCCGTCGGCCAGTGATAGTGCGGGGGCCACCAAGATAATGTATGGGAGGAAAATTACAATGCGGCGATTTCTCGTACTTTTTAGATAGAAAGAATACCACGGTTGGCGATGTTGTGAATGCAATGCCATGTTTTGAAGGAATTTTTATTTAAAATTTATAATTCTGCATTGAAGATATGCCGCATCAAAGTACGAAAACATAAAGCATTGATGTGTATAATATATACCCTTTCTAGCTATACTGATACATAGTCACAGCCAGCTATGATCCTTTTTCCTGTATATCAGGTTCACACATTGCCAGTTTGTAACCGCGACAGCCCATCGGGATCTATTTAATGCAACCGCGCCCCGAAAAGGCCTGAATCCCGCTGGTACCAAAACAAACCTAGAGATAGATATAAGCAAATAATTTCTAACATCATAGAGTCTTGATCTCCATCCATTCGCTGGTGCCCACCCCGAGATTGAGCCCGTTCCTCGCCCACCACTTCCTTACTTCGTCCTCTCCCTCTCCACCAGCCAGGCGCACACTATCCTCCAGCGCCTCCTCAATGTCGCAAGTCTTATACTCTACCTTCAACCTCTTCCCGTCCCACCCCCAGTCCTCTCCACTAGTCTGCCGCCGCCACCACTCCAGCACCCGCACAAACCCATTCTTTGTCGGCCCAACAAGCACCTGATTATCATAGCTCATGGCAAACTTGCTCCCCTTAAGGCTCTTCCACGTCTCTAACACGTCAACATGGCCATAGGCTGATGCAAGGCGTGCCACAGAGTCAGAGTGCGAGTACGGAATCCCAGACGTATCCCACCAGTGCACAACACGGTTTTGCCCATTTTGAGCTGCGTACAGGACTGACTTGCCAACCTTCAGCCTCAGCGGCGCAAGTCCGACATCCATCGACTGCGAGTCGAAACTCGGCGACGCTGGTTCGTACAAGTATGAGGAGATTGTGCGCCGAGCTGAGGGGTTCTTCGACTCGGGCTCAAGGATATATGCGCCTTGGTGCATGCTCGCTTCCTTCCACCATTCTAGGACGAGGATATGTCCCTTGCTGCTCGCCTGCTCCAACGCCGCCTCGCTGTATTTCAGCGGTAGGCCGGACTTTTTCCACCAGTCAAGCACGTGTACGAAGCCTGACTTGGAGGCTCCATCTATGGCTTCATCTGTATAGTCTTTCTTGAGAAAGGAGGCAGAGGTTCGCCACCACTCTAGAATCTCATTTCTTCCATAAACCGCCGACGCTTTAGTCGGGAGTAGTTTTCCGCCAAAGGATGTCCAAAAGACCTCGCGGAATTTGGTTTCGAGATACGAGAGGACGTCTGTGAGACAGAATTTGATGATAAGCTTGACGCATAGTGATGACAGGTATTCCATGCTCTTTGGGGCCTGGTCGAGCTTTTCAATAACGCGCGGTACAGGCTTGGTAAGGATTGTGGATTCGAGAGAGCGAATGTACTCGTGGAGTTCATCCTTCGGGGATTCGCGATGCTCCCATTCCCTCGGTATGGGCAGGTTGGTATAGATGCCGATTGATTGTGCAACTTCCCAGTCGCCGACGTAGTCGAATATTATGGTCCACAACTCCGATGGAAGCCGAGTTTCCGCCTTCTGGTTTCGACGTGCCTGTTCTATATCGCCAGATGTAGTTATATCAACGTCATGGCCAATTGTCAGAAGTTCGGCTTGGTTGTTGATGGTTTCGACGAGATCGGGGAAGCCATCATATTGAATGAGACATTTCTTTGCCCCCTTCTCGTCATATTGCCACAGAATAGGCGGCATCACTCGGACCCAGTTCCATTTCCCCCTCAGCTTCGATAGCTGCTTCTTTGTCATGGGATTCTCCCACATTGATGTCGTCATGCCCGGCACCAGTATTATCTTTTTCGAGACATCCCAACCCCTTAGAACATCGAGTATAAGCGTCCCTGTTATCCCATTCAACATCTTTGCCATTGTATCCGCACTGGCGGGCGCCAGGACCAACAAATCTGCCCACTCGGCCCAAACTTGGGCACTGCCTTCGCCATTATTGATGCCGCGGCTAATACTGCTCGGGGAGTTCTCGAGAGTAGGGGCGAACCGCAGGGCCTTCGCTGTAGGATCATCGCATATCGCTCTGCATTCGACTTTTGCGTGCCCGAAGAAACGCACGACCAAGGCCTCGGCTTTAGAGATGTCGCGCTCGCAGTTGGCGGCTACCAGGACGTGGAGTTTCTGGCAGTCTGTGGTTTTGAATTCGAACGATTTTGATGGGCGCGATAGAAATGGCTCTTGTGCTACATTGGGTATACCTAGATTATCATACTGATAATCGGGCGGATGCGTCTCCATGGCTGCCGGAGCGAATGTGTGGTGACTTCTGAGTTGTGAGGAACAAGCCCTGGAAGATAGGTGAAGGACTCGGACGGGGCCTCATCACTAAATATTCGCGAGATGCGAAAGCAGCTGAAGAAAGGTGAGACAATTTGTGATGGCGACCAACGCGAAACAAACACGTAGGTTTGGTGGTGAATAAACCTTGTAGGCGGGGTACTGTTTGCAACTGCTGGACCTTATCGGAGGATTTTATTCCGCATCCCGATGCCGAGCTAAATATATGGGACGATCATTCCCGCTAAATCCAAAAGCCGTAAAGTTAAAATATCTTAAATGGACGACATATCTGTACAAATACGTTTTATTTAGCACTGAGAGATTGCCAAAACGCGTTTGAAGTAGTCTCTAAATGTAAGTTTTTTATATTTTCTTTTACATCCTTATACAATGAATTCTTCGAGAGAATGGTATCTTTGCAACAATAATATCATGTGAATGGCCATGACCAGAACGCAGACCATCCAGCTTACCGACTGAAATATGACAAACAAATATTTCGCCGCATCAAGCAGGCACTTGCGCCACGAGTCCCTATCCGTAATTTACAAATATCCTGTCGCATAAATTGACTTCTTCAATTTACATTTCAAGCATCCTGGCTTGGTCCATCTCCGTCCGCATCTTTGTGGTTCTTCCGCTTGCGCCTTCTTTTTGTCTTTTTCTTCACGTCATCGACTTCAGCTTGCCCGTCGCTTGCCGCTTCTTCAGCTGGTTGTGGTTCGACCAGCTGCACGTTGGTTTCCCTTGTGTTCTTAGCTCCGTCTTCGTCATGTTGCGAATATAATGCGTCGTCTCCATCGCTGGAGCTGGTCGTTTGTAGCACAACCTTCCTAACCCCTATATTCTCAGTGATACTGCCGCTCCGCGCAGTTCCTCGTTTTCTTGGTGCTGGGCTTGCAAGCCCGGAACGTAAACTAGAGATGGTGCCACCACTATCGGATTCATGAAGTTCAGGGCGTCGGGGTGGGGATCCCTTTGAAGGAAGGCCCTCCGTGGATTGTGACTTATCAGGCTCATTAATATCGGCCTGTTGCAATTTGTGAGCCCAGAGTGGACTTGAAGTCCGATGAGTTGGGCCATGATCAATGCTACCATACCCTTGCTGCAACGCGAGCACGCCGTCCGAAGCAGGTCTCCCAGCACTTTGTAATAGACCCTCTCCTTCACCTCCATATGGGGCAGAGTACATCTCTGAGTCATCTTCAAATACAACAAGATCTTCATGAACTGAAGTGGGATGGTCTTTGGTATCCTTAACAAGGCCGGGCTTGATTTTCACGGTACTGTAGCGTGTTGTCTTTGGGCGGCTGGCAAGGTTTGATGGGCCGAGGTGTTTGAGGTGTTCGCGCATGTCTGTGGCATTTCCACGAACTGTAACCGAACCGCCATCAGCAGCAGCAGAACTGCGTCTGATCATGAAGGTAGCCTTAGGGCTAGTGCCAAAGGTAACGGGGCTTTGACCTGGAGCCTTGCCATCTAGGGACAGTTGGCGCCGCCCTGAACTGCTACCTTTGGAATTTTCGTCTGCACCAACAACCGGGGAGCCCTGGAGACTTTGTAGTTTTGGAATATCGCTGTCAGCTACGACTTGGCCTCTGGCTGCCCGTCTGTAAGTAGGTGCTGGTGCAAGACGTCTGATGGCTTTGTGGACATCAATGTAAACGTCGGATTCATCAATAATTTCTCTATGGTGAGGTATTAGGACAGTATTTGGAAGGGGGATTATAGTGGCACATACTCTCCAATCAGTTCCTCAATGACATCCTCGAGTGTGACAACACCAATGGCGCCATGGTCTTCACCTGGATATTCGGATACCAATACCATATGTGACTTTCCTTCTTGGAAGAAGTTCACAATATCGAGACAGCTGGTTTCTGGGCTTGTCTCTGGCAATGTTGCTAGAGCAAACTCGCCGACTTTCTTGCAATCCTCTGGGTCGTAAGTAATCAGCATCTTAACAAGGAGCATGCCTATAAAGTTATTCTCGTTTCCAGGTTCGTAGATGGGAATGCGCGAGTATCCTGCGGTGAGGATAGCGTCCATGGTTTCTTCGTCGAGGACAGTATCCACAGACATTGTAAACACATCCCCCATGGGCGTCATGATGTCTCCCACGGCCTTGTCCTTGAGGTCTAGCACAGCACTTATTATAGTCACTTCGTCCTGGTTCAACCTGTCACCTGGAGTTGACCCAAGAGTCTTATGCAGCGTGACTAAAGTCTTCAGTCCGGACTTCTTGTAGACAGTGCCATGATGTTCGCCGAGAAGGTGGTCGAGGAGTTTTGCGGTAGGCCATGCAATTGGTGCAAGGAGGTACATGAGAACTAGCACGAAAGGCGACATAACTGAGCCAATCTGCAACCCGTATCTGACACAGATTGACTGCGGAATAACTTCGCCAAATATAACTAGTGACGTTAGTATATTACAAAGGACCCGAATCCAATATATTTACCGATTAAAGCTGTGCTTCCAAGAACGGCTGGCCATCCGCCACCGAGCGATCGATCGAGCACGATGGGCAGAGTTTCGTTGACGATGACATTGGCTAACAAGAGTGTCACCAAAACCCAGTGCTTCCCTCGTTTCAGAAGTTTGAACACTCTCTGTGCATGTTTTTGCTCCTTGCCCTCTCCGGAGGTGGCAATGACTTGTAGATATATTCCGTCTTGTCCCATCAAACTGCAACCAAGGTATATATTAGCCTGGATCTTTGCAAACGGTGTCACAATCTCCCAACTTACGCAATTGTCAACCCAGCGAATGCCCCTCCAGAGATCACCAATATAAACGCCGCTGTCAAATACAGCCATAAACCAGGATCCTCTGGGCTTTTAGGCATGTCTTCAATGCCTTTGATCCAGCTCGTCAATGGCGCTGCACCTGCAACTGACATCTGGGAAGCCGCGAGGAATAGGACCTTGGCCAGGCTAACCACCGCTGGACGAGTCCCTCCTGGAGAGACATTGTATCTTGGATTGTGTGACCGAATCGTCATCGTCGAAGCCAGAAGCTTGAACAGCGTGGGTTCGATAGCGGGCGTTGCTCTCTTTCCTCTCACCAATCCCATTCGCCCGAATTGATTGCCCTTCCTTCACACGTGGTTGTTGCTTCACGATTGTTGTTGTTCAAGGTACGTATTTACAGTGGAGAAAATTGAGGGTCTGTGGCCGAGACTGACGAAATATCGATTAAGCGCGGCCAGCATGCAATTGACTGCGGAAGCACCAAAAGCCAAGTTTTAGTAGTAAGGTTCAGAGTGCCTAGCACAGTACAGTAGTGTATAATCTAGTACAGTATAGTAGTAAAAGTAGCGTAGTGCGGCGTCGGGTGCTGTATGGACAGGAGTTCAGTAGACATGCGGGGTTGATGTTGTTGTTTGGTTCAGAACGGTGGAGGTGGAGAGACTTGGCGGCTACCAGCGTCATATGCCGGCTAATCGACCTCGTTGATCTTGACGACTATCAAACCCCCAGGACCGACCAAAAACACGACATGCGTCTTAAACTCTAAGAGCCACAACTATATATGTTGATGGCGTTTCAAAATGGTCAATAGCTGATCGTGCAATCTACGCATACCAATCAAGCACAAGCCCTGCCGCCTCCTCTTGTTCTTCATTTCCACTCTGAACTCCACTACCAACGTGAAGTGAAGGCACAGCATGTCGCGGCAGTGGATTTCTCGATGATAATCCGAATTACGGTCAAATACTGCTCCATTATACTCGTGGAAGCCGCCCCGTCTCGTTCGTCAAGGCCGGCCGCCGAGTTCTGCTGAGCAGCAGGAAATAGGCGCTTGGAGGCATACGTCGATTCGATACCCTTACGAACGGAATACGCCCTCAACAAAGTCGACCGCCTTACGGATAACTTTGCGCAATCTATACACGGCACCTGCAAATTTCTAGCTGGTAGAAGATATGGCTGGTAACGGAGCAAGCGACCGCCTTGGCAATATTCCAGTGCTTGCGGAGACAAACACCCAGACACCAGACCAGAACACATCACATCCGACCTCGACATCACCCTCCAAAACGAGTCGTTTGGCGGAACCTCTTCTACCGCCCTTTAAGGAGATCCCTAAAGATACTTTTCCGAATGTCGAGAGCCCAACAACCCCACGGCGAATGCCTTTTCCTCGACCGCCGTCCTTGCAGATGCCTCAGAAGGACCTCGCCAATTTAGAATCTGCCTACAGTCGAATTCCTCTTTCTCCAAAGCTTGACCCGGCAGATTCGTATGGATCCCCAGTTATACCGCGACGTTCACGAGGCCTAGACTTCTCCCGGGCTGCAACAAATCTACACCATTCTACACTGGCGGAGCAATCGTCCCCTGATTCCTCACCTACTATCACAGGGAGAGCAATGAATATACCCGGCAGGCGAAGGAGTGGGCAATTCTCCTCCGAAACATCTGGCGCCTCTCAGTGGTCTTTTAGGCCACCGGGAGATCGAACAACGATCTCGAGCTCTCTCGGAAGTGTTAACATGCTATGTTCAGAGTCATCTGACAGCACCTCTGACGAGGAGCTTATGGATACAGATGACATTGATGATTCGATCCTCACCACACCCCAGGTTGCCACCCGGATGCCGATGGGCCTGAATATTTGGTCACAGCCACACCCTAGCCCAGGGAACAACTGGATGAACCAGTCTCCAGCCGCTAGTAGCTTGATCAACTTCCAGAGGGCGAGGATGCGCAATGGCAAGAGCAAAAAAGGATCAAGCAGCTCAAGCTCAAGAGCTAGTCCCATGTCAAGGTCGCCACCTGTCGGGGGCTCTGATGCCATGAACAACAGCCAATTTGCAAAAGACCTTCCGTCAGGCACGCAGTCAAGGAGGGAAAGTATCAGCTGGGCGGCAAACCAACTACACATTGATGGTAGTGAAAGTGATGATGGCACTCTGAAGAGCACATTGGAGAATCCAGAGAATCTTCCAACTACTCCAGCAAGAGATGGACAGAGGGGAGTCATAAGAAGAGCCGTGACGAGACGAGGCAACATGCTCCCCAAGACGAAGGGATTTGCAAGAATACGAGCAGCGTTAGCAGAAGAAGGCGCACCTGTCGAAACTGAAGTTCGCCGCGAGGCTACTGTAATCCGGCAAGTACGTGAAAACGACATGGACCTCGAGCCATCACGACCCCGAGCTTTATCAACCGCCACTCTGTCATCCCCATCCGTTCGCCCTTCGCAAGGTGATGGCTTGGAGGACGCATTGGCGGATGACATGATCAGCCTTGCGAATAGCAATGCTGGAGGCAGCTTCAAGCAGCAGGTTGTGCGCAATTCGAAGGGCCCGGAGTTCTGGGAAGGCTTCGAAGACCGCAAGTACCGCACTCCACCACCTTATTTTCCAACTCGCGAATCAGCGTCGACCGTGAGCGATGATATCTCAATGGATTCCCAGGCATTTAGCCTAGGCAACTTCTCTATGCCGTCACAAGCTCGCGATGCTACTGATACACAGTCGCAAGGACCGTCTGCATCGCCGACACGTGCAACGACTCCAATACCAGCGGCGATTGATATCCGACGTGTTAATAACAAGCGTCGCAGGGATGACGATTTTGACCCCATGTCCTTCAAAAGACGAGCTGTGTCGCCAGGGATGTCCGTACACAACAGCCCTGTGATACAGAGTCCGATGCAAAGGGATGGAAATCCGTGGGGCACAAGACCACCTAGCAACGGTGGCTCGGACAAAGGCGCGATTGAATCACAGTCCAGCGGACGCCACGGTGGGACGAAGCGTGTGGGCCTCCAAGGGATGACTGATACGAATGATAGTTTGATGAACATGAGCATTGAGTAGGATTGTTTCGGTGATGGATGGGTTTGGGCGAACAGACTGCACTATGGAGTTACAAGGCATGGTGTCTGCTAGGGTATATTGCTATTTGAGTTCCCTTATATGGGTCTCGAAGTAGCTAGCTCATAAAGTTTGTAGAGCATAGATAGCTTATATTTTGAGCGCAATTTTGCTACCTGACATTCACATGTCTATTGCAAATCCACATCTATTTCACTCTGCTATTATCGAGCTACCGTAACGATCCCCCCATGGACAGAACATAGCATAATGTCTCTCAGTGCCCAAACCCAATTTCAACCTACTTCGTCGTTTCTGAGGCATGAGTTGGAATGAAAGCTAACCATGAATAAAATGCAGTGTTAAAAGATGAATAAAACAAGTATAAATTGTATCTACAGATCTACAGTTGAGTTATAACTTAGGTAAACGTTATGAGCCTCTATCATAGATCACGTGACATATACTCTATAATTCTATGGGCTACGGCCTTTACTTATGCCATGGCCCGTAAGCTACTCTACCGTACGAAACTACTATAATACAGGACGGGTTTCAGGATGTTGGTGCCTTATCTGCCAGATTCTTAGGGCCAGAATCACATCCCTCCCGCACAAGCGAAGATAGGTCACCTGACCTACAATCATGTGATTCACCTCTGAATGGTGAATAATCACGTGACTCACCTCTTTACTAGTGATACACTCCCTTTTTCCTATATATAGGCTTCACTTTTGCCTACCACCCTTCTTCCTTCTTCATCACTTGCAACCTCACGTCTTCGTACGAAGACAGCATCTACCACTTCTTCCAACTCTTTTTCTTCAGAAACAGGGATGAGGGCCCTAATACTGAAACTGTGTTAGCTAGTTTCGTTGTAATGGTGGGTGCACCAGATGTGAGAATCTAGCCACCCAAGGAAGGGATGATTTTACTAAGACAACACACTGTCTTAGGAAAAAGAGCCAAAGGGTCGTAGATTAGACTATTCCACAACGCAGCAATCAGGTGTATGATGTAGTGGAGTGGTTTAGACAAGTTGTAACAAATGTTGAGTCTGAGAACTCAGGGATAAGTCAGAGGTTAGCACCTCACTGACTTTTCAGAAACAAGGAGTAACAAGATCAATGCTTGGAAGCTTGGAAAAGACGTGGAAGTATGTGATAGTCGATTTACTGTATTGTCTGCTTGCCCTTTCTTAAGGAAAGGGCAATCCTATTTATGCTAAAGGAGTGTAGTTCTCTCATTTTCCAAGACTTTCCATGACTAACCAGGCTTAGTAACTGTAGTCGACGTAAGAGAATCCCATAGAACCATCTCCTAGCCTATAGGAAGTGAAAGGAGGTCCAAGGTCAGAGTACCCCTATAGACAAATTATGTCATAACTTAACCAATCTTGTGGGTAACTAAGGAGCGATGACGTGTAATGAATCATAGAGGGTTGTAGAAGCTTTTGGAGCTATCGTTCATGTTCCTAGGCCTCTAGTTGATAGAGATATGTCATGTGTAGTATTAGCCCAGTAACTAAGGAGTGATGTCATGTAATGAATCATAGAGGGTTGTAGAGATATGCTATGTAGTCATATCGCATGTAATGAATCATAGAGGGTTGTAGAGATATGCTATGTGGTCATATCGGCCCAGTAACTAAGGATCAATGACATGTAATGAATCATAGAGGGTTGTAGCAATCGTTGAGTAGTATTGCTCTTGTTGTTGGTGTGACAAGCCAAAATATGTATAGTGACTTGTAGGTTTGAGGAGGAGATTTCTAAGTTTGCTCTTGAGTTTGATAGCAAACTGAGTGCAACGAATGTCAGTATGACACTATGGGCTGTGGCACTCTTTCGAGGACCAGCCTCAGAATGGATCTCTAACTACCTCGCCGACTACATGAACTATCGAACACCCGACGGAAAATGCAACACCTTAGCTAGTCAAGGAACAAAGGAAATTTTTGTATCCTGGAATGGATTCCTCAAAACGCTTAAGGCAAACTTCAGAGACATCGATGAACGACGAAATGCAGTCAGGGCACTCCAGGCTCTCAAGCAGAGAAGGTCAGCAGTTGCATACACCGCTGAGTTTCAACAGCATGCAACTCTCACCAACTGGGGAGACGAGGCTATCTGTGACCAATTCTACGCAGGTCTGAAAGACCATGTGAAGGACGAAATCTCAAGATCTAACAAACCAGATGACCTTACAGAGATGATTGAATTGGCTCAGAAGATCGACAATTGTCACTACAAACGGCAACTCGAGAAGAAAGGGGGACCACCTAGTCAACACTGGACTCAGAAGAGAAGACAAACAAAGAGTCATTGGCCCCAACCTATGGAACTTGACGCTACTTTCAAGCCTAATGGCAAACCCCACAATCCCAACAAGGAGCGACAGTTCCAAGAACGGCTCTGTTTTAACTGCAATAAGCCTGGACACATAGCGCGAAACTGCAGACAGTCAAAGAAAGGGAATGGTGGACGAAAGTATGGCAAACAGCTTAACGCTACTTGGCAAGGTCAAGGTGGGTACAAGGCCCCGCGAGGACAGCTATGTGCCACGTTGAAGGGAAAAGAGAACTGGAGTATTACTACTCAGGATCTCGAGGAATTCCACTTGTCAAACAGAGAAGACAAGAACGACAACAAGGAACTCACTAGTTCTCAAAAGCACCAGTTACAAGCATTTGAGAAGACATCAAGTAAGACTCTCTTCAAGGAACAACTGCCAGGAGCAGTGAGAACCTTCAAGGAAGCCATGCTTCAGGAGACGGTCGATCAAGAAATTCCTGTGCCCAAGCCACCAATGAGCTGGCAGGACACTACACAAGACTGGGAGGTCGCAATTCGCACAATGGGGTGTCGACCAGAATACCCTCACCAGCAGGAAAGCATCCCAAGAGAAGAAAGGGGAACACGAGTGGTCGAAGCACATGAACGCCTACACCGTGAAGCAGAATGAAGTAAAGAAAGGGTACCAGTTCTACGACCATTAGAATATGGTGAACATGATGGATTTTCCTCAGACGGCTAGGAGTCCTCGGCAGTAGGCCACTGGCGAGCGACACAAAGAGGCCTAGTACAAACCAGCTATGCGCCACAACAGGCAGCATGCAGCTATATGTGGTTTGCTAAGATACAACAGCAACACCTCCGAGCTATGAGAGACTCAGGAGCAATGGGCAACTTTATGACAAAGAAAGTAGCAGACACACACAGTTTCAGGATGCAACTGAAGACCGACCCATACCCATTAATGGTTGTAGATGGAGAGCCCATCTCAACTAACAATGGAATGGTGACCCACGAGACAGTCCCATTAGAAATGGTCATGCTACGTGGACACAAGGAAACGATACAGTTTGATATCGTGCACATGGACAATCATGCATGCATACTTGGTGTACCGTGGCTCAAGAAACACAACCCCCAGATCGACTGGCGGAATGAGAAAGTTGTGATGAGCCAGTGCGCGTGTGAACAACGAACAGACACGACGCAGAAGGAGAAAACCTCCAAAGACCGGAAGGAGTTATGTGCGACCACCGAGTCTGATGACCTAGCCCAGGCATCCTCACTGAAGCAAATACCAGTGGAGTATAAGGAATATGAGCAGTTATTCCAGGAAGGCCCTAACGAAGAGGCGCTTCCTAAGCACCAACCATGGGATCATGAGATACCTATCATGGAAGGAAAGAGTCCACCGTTCGGACCAATATATCAGATGTCAGCAGCAGAGCTGGACATACTGAAGGAATACATTGACGAGAACCTCGCGAAACGGTTCATTCGACCATCGACATCACCAGCAGTGTAAGGACACAGGGCACCCAGCTCACAGTAATAGCATATGAGAGTGCGAGTCGGAGGCTAAACAGATGCTATCCTATAGGTCTACTACGAAGGATACAGAAAAGATGATGGGGGAACCCCGTGAGTCGATTTTCTCAAGTACCCGAAACCCATCCGACTCGGTTCCGACTCGGTTAGCCCACCCAAATGATCACACATGACCCCGCGGCTACCCAAGATGATGGGGGAACCCTGTGAGTCGATTTTCTCAAGTACCCGAAACCCATCCGACTCGGTTCCGACTCGGTTAGCCCACCCAAATAATCACACGTGACCCCGTGGCTACCCAGAGTCTACTCCCTAGAATGAGAGACGAGAAGGCATCGTTGCCGCCACTGAGGCCAATCAGGTGGCCCTCCTGGCCACCCAGAGCATGCCAAAGTTCCGCTCCGAGGCGGAGCGTGACCTCTACGAGGAGGCACGTGCCACTCGGGCTGCCCTCGAGTTGGGGCTGGCCGTGAGTAGACCCCCTTCCCCTTGTGACTCGGTGTGGTTTCGATGCTGACTCTGGGCAGCAAATTCGGTCGTCGCTGCGCCGTCTCCGGACGGAACAGGAGAGCGTTCCTGCTCGCTTGGGGGAGTTGGTGGCTGCTGTGGGCAAACTGCCCACCACTGCCGCTCCTGCGGTCGCTCCGACTCGGGGTGATGGAAGGAGGGAGGGGGAGGATGGGGAAGTTGGGGCGGCCTATGGGGCCTAGGTGGGGGAAGACCTTGTGTCGGAGGGGACTCGGGCCTGGCCCTTCGCGTGGGGTCACTTCGACCCTTCGTTTCTCATGGTGGTAGCCGCTTGTTGCGACACCGGTGAGACGTTTGGGAAGGGTGACTCCCGCAAGGGTTACGGTGGTGAGTGTGCCCTGGCTCGGAGGGTATTTTAGCGTAGAGTCGCAGAGAGCAACGACTCTGTTTCCTCCACTTTGTCTTTTCCTCCGTGATCGTAGTTTTGTTCCCTTCCCGTCTCCCCTACCGTAACACCTCCGAGTAGTTCTTGAGATGGACCTGGTAAATCTGGGTATTCCGTATGAAACTCTCTGAGTTTCTGGGGAGAGTTCATGAAGTTTGACGCTGGGTACCACTCCGGGTCCAGATCGTATCCGACCCAACTAACCCGGTATTGTAGTTGCTTCTGGCGGAGCCTTACGGCGAGGATCTTTTCCACTTCCCATTCCTCTATGCCATCTATCACTTCGCTGCTAGGCTCAGGCGGATCCTGACCAGGTAGGGGATTGTTCGGATCCTTCATGAGTACGTCTGGTGAGAACACATCGTGTATTTGCGAACCGGTAGGTAGTTCCAATCGAAATGCGTGCCCAATCCGTTCCGACACCATATATGGTCCGACCCATTGTTGGCCCAGCTTGCGGCTAGGACGAGAGTTTTTCAAATTTTTGGTCGATAGGTACACTCTATCTCCTACGTCCTAGTCGATGGCCCTTCGGCGTCGATTCGCGTGCTTAGACATTTCCTCTTGTGCCTTTGCCATGCTGCAGTATGCATTCGGTCTGCCACCGCCTTGGCTTCCTCTCAGTTTAGGGTCTCCCGGGGGTTGGTGCTTTTCGGAGTGTTCCAATCCCAACTCGTACGTAGATCGGTTCCGTACTTGAGTCGGTAGGGGGTCATGCCAATGGATGCGTGGGGGAGTGTCATTTGCACGCGGTCCATTATGGGGATGACTTTGCTCCAGTTATCCTGATAATGGGATACGAAAGGCCTCAGTCTCTGATCGATGTATCGGTTCATGATTTCCGCCTGCCCGTCAGTCTGCTTATGATAGGCAGTCGACAGCTTAACCTTAATGCCGATAATTCGACAGAACTCTTGCCAAAAGGATGATACAAATTGGGGTCCGCGGTCACTTACAATTGACTCCGGAGTGTGTCCGAATCGGTATATCCATTCGATGAACAATTGCGGCATCTGCCGGGCAGTTGTGGTTTTGTAGCAAGGTATTGTCACTGAACTCTTTCTGAGTCAGTCCATAAACACTAAGATGCTATCGTATCCATGCTTGTCCCTTGGGAACTCCTTGAAGTCCATGGTGAGGTGTTGCATAGGGTATTCGGGTATGGGTAGTGGGTGTAGAAATCCTTGTTGCTTAGTGACATTGGTCTGAGAAAGCCGGCATGTCACGCAGTTTCATACATACCGCAAACAGTCCGCTTCCATCCCAACCCAATGATACTTTGGAGTGAGCAATTGGTAGGTTTTCCTGCCACTTGGATGTGCTGACGACACTTGATCGTGCGCTTCCCGGATCAGTTTCGTACATAGGTCGGTGTGGCGATTCACACATAGGCAGCCTTTGTACAGGAGAAGCTGGTCGTTAATCGTGAATCTGTCCGGTAGGGGTTGTTTCACGCGAGTCTCGGTGAACGACTTCCGATTGTCCGCACATAGCGCCTCTATTAAATTGAAGGGCACCTGGGGCTTGGGGGTGTCCATCGAATTAATAGATGCTATGTAGCTCTCAGCAAGTTCGGTGCTGATTCGGGGGTGCAGGCGGCTTGGACCTAACAATACCCTCACCCTACTATCAAGTTTGACTTTCTGCTGCGTTACCAAGTCCTGGTCTCTTCAGCTCAGAATATCTGCCTTCTGGTTATTCTTGCCCGCGGTGTACGTAATGCAGAAGTTGAAGTCGGAGAGTAGCTCCATCCATCTGTAAGGATGCCTTCTCATCTCTCATTCTAGGGAGTAGACTCCGGGTAGCCTCGGGGTCACGTGTGATCATTTGGGTGGCCTAACCGAGTCGGAACCGAGTCGGATGGGTTTCGGATACTTGAGAAAATTGACTGACGGGGTTCCCCAATCATCTTTTTTGTATCCTTCGTAGTAGACCTATAGGATAGCATCCGTTTAGCCTCCGACTCACACTCTCATATGCTATTACTGTGAGCTGGGTGCCCTGTGTCATTACACCATCGAACCTGCTTCGCGGTGAGAACCTTGGTAGACATGAAATATTCCAGCGAACGGTGGTCAGTGTACACGTCGACTCGGTGGTGCACCGAAGCCAACTTGGGCCTCCATTTTCCGAAGGCCTTTACTATTGCAAATAGTTCCTTGTAGTGGATCTCCCAATTGATCTCATGTCCGGATAGGACATGACTGTAAAAGCTTACGAGGTACCATCGCTTGTCAGGGTGTTCTTGAGACAGGACACCAGCTACCACTCCATCAGAGGAGTCAGTCTCCAGCTTCGTAGGCAATTCGGGGTTGAAGTGGTGAAGTGCCTGTACCGCTAAAAGTTATCGTCGCAATTCCTCGAACGCATCCTCACATTCGTCTGTCCACCGGAACGGCTCCGAGGGACTAGTGATGGTGGTGAGGGGCTTTGCTATTTTTCCAAAATTACAAATGAATTGTCTATAGAAGCCACAGAATCCCAGGTAGGACTTCACACCCGTAACAATGGTCGGTCGGATCCAGTTACGAAGGGGTTCGATTTTGTCAGGGTCTGCTTCGACACCGGAGGTAGTGAGAACATAACCCAAGTATTTTGTCCTGGTGACGTTGAACTCGCATTTGTTCAAATCGGCTTTGAGTCCAGCTTCTCGGAGATGCTGTAGGACCTTATGCACATGCTCTATGTGTTCCGTAGGGTCCTCTGAATAGATTAGGATGTTGTCTAAGTAGGGCAAAAACTCCATCTACCCGGTACAAAGGTGAAAAAACGCCATCTACCCGGCAAGCGCTTATCCCCTTTCGGAACCCGCAACAGGCCAATGAGAGCACGTACTCTCATGTGGCCTTTTCGAAACAATTGAGCTGGCAACACTTGCCAACTCAATTGTACGGTAAGTCGGGGGTTAATTGAGACCCCCGAAGCTCCTTTCCTCCCTCTTCCCCCTTCCATCTAGAGCCCCGCTGACCCCTCCTAGGATCTCTCTCTCCCTCGCTCCTCTGACCCCTCGAAACCCCCCTCGGAAGCCCTCACGCGAGGCACAAACTCCCGCCTCCCCGCCCCCGCCCCCGCATCTGACGATGGCCTCGCTGGCCGAACTCGCTGTCCCTGTCGACGGCAGCGAGTTCCTCGACTTAGACGCTTGGTCCCGCGCCCTAGACGACTGGGCCGTCAAGGAGAAGTTCTCCTGGCGGCTCCAGAGGAGGGACAAAGACCGGGCAACGGCTGTTTGTCCCGAGGAGGGCTGTGCCTGGCGTGTCCGAGCCAGCCCTGACGACGAGCAATGGAAGCTCGTCGTCGTTGAGGGGGCACACACTTGCGTGGGGAGGGGGCAGCAGAAGTTTGCCTCCTCCTCAAAGGCAGAATGGCTGGACGGCGTGGTCTCTCGACACCTACGGGTGTCGAAGAAGACCACGCCAAGGGAGATTGTTGAGCTCCTCCGCGTTCGATTCGCGGAGGGGATTCTCTACGGGAGGGCGCAGCAATCGTTGCTACGCCTTCTCGTAGGGGATATTGGAGTGCAGAGGCATAGCTTTCAGCTATTGCCCTCATATAAGCGCCTCCTGGAAGCATCTGCTCTAGGAGTTCATGTTGATCTCGTTCGAGATCGACACGACCGATTCCAACGGATCTTTGTGTGCCCTGCGGAGAGCAGGGCCACGTTCCAAGCCTCACGCCGGCTTGTTGCGGTGGACGGGACCTTCTTAAAGGCCCGTTTTATCCTTACTCTTCTTGTGGCCGTTGGCATTGATGCTAACGGCCACATTGTGCCACTTGCTTGGGCAGTGGCCGAGTCGGAGAACGCGGACTCTTGGGAGTGGTTTTTGAACCACCTCAAGTGGTCCCTCCCAGAGCTCGTGAGCGAGCCAAGCACCCTTGTCTCTGATAGAGACAAGGGGCTTCTTATTGCGGAGAGAACTCTCTCTCCGCAGGTGGTGATAGCTCATTGCTGTCGTCACCTCTCTGAGAATTTCTCAGAGCGGTTTGGGAGGGGCCTTCTACCCCTCTTCTGGAAGATTGCCCGGGCCACAACTGTGGCCCAATTCGACGGGCTTTTGGAGGAGCTTCGGGCTTTAAAGCCCGAAGCATCAGCATACCTTTATGGTGCCGAGCCCGAACGGTGGGCTCTGGCGAAGTTTCGTGGCCGTCGATACGGCCACGATACTTCAAATATTGCAGAGAGCTTTAATAAGCTCATCCGCACAGATCGAGAGCTCCCAATCGTGGAGCTTCTCGATGCGCTCTGGCACCGGGTGATGGCCCAGCGTGCGGAGCGCTCTCTTTTGGCTGTGGAGGCCATTGCTAAAGGGCAATGGCCTCCTCTCCTCACTAGGTTGGTGGAGGAGGGGAGGAACTGGGCCCATGGCAATGGGCTCCAGATATCCTCCCTAACAGAGGCACGGGTAGTCCAGCCAAATGGCAGGATCTACCTCGTTGACCTGACGGCAAGAACTTGTTCTTGCCGTCGATACCAAGAGAATGGCGTGCCTTGTGGGCACGCCATGACTCTTATATTTCGACAAGGGAGTCAATTGACTCCCTTTCTTCCGACAGAGCTGTCTGCCGCGTGCTGGCAGAGGCAGTATCAACTGCCTCTGCCTCCTGTCTCTGTCGAGGGTCTTTCGATAGACCCTGACGCCTTAGGAGGAATCTGTGACCCCCCAGTCACCCGAATCCCCCGAGGCCGTCCCCGAAAAGAGAGGGTTCGGAGGGAAGATGCCCGGCATCCTCGAGGACGCCAGGAACGACGGGATCATGGAGGACTTCTGCCGCTTGGGGCAGTCGTTGCCGCCGTGCCGGATGTAATGGTGGGTGCACCAGATGTGAGAATCTAGCCACCCAAGGAAGGGATGCACTCACCACTCATCCTTGAGGACGCGAAACCTTTCTTGCGAGATAGAAGGTTATATTAAATCATTTTTAGGCGACAACTCTATTTTATCTATTCACAGAGAGTTGGGGGATGAGAAAAATATGTCAGAGCTACTACGTCTATTCTGTGTCTTCGTTTGTGGTTTGGTGTAGCTTGGCTCTGATATATGTGTATTTTCATCTATTTCCCCCACCTACCGTCCGTCCCAGTCCGTTCCGTCCATGCCAAGTGCCCGGTAATAAAGCCAAAGAAACATCAAAAGAATGGTTGAGATGTCCGCAAGTGGTATGTTTTGCAATGTGATGTGAAATTGCTGATGAACGCTTTTGATATCCGCGAGGGAGGATGTGAGAAGCATAGCTTAGTCGCAAGAAAATAACTCCCGAAATAGCTAGGTACACCTCATGGTAAGGATTGTTGACGATGTGGTGCTTTTTTCAGTGGGTTACTTGTCGATAACCGTCTTGTTCATCAACTTTTTGCCGCCTCCTTTCCCGAAGACTCTGCTTAGTGGTTAGTTACTTTCTTTTTCTTCTTTTGGCTGGGGTACCGAACATGTGCTGCTCGTAGAATCTCAGCATCTAGAGTCTAGTCAGCAATTGATCTTTAACAGTTCGACATCGAGTGGATCTACCTTCTGTGGACAGTGCTTGTAAGCCCTTTCAACTGGGTGGGCCGTTCTTTGCCCTCCCTTCCAAACAATATGCACCTGCAGTGATCCATCGTCCTGCTCCTCAACCTGATCGATCGCAGTGGCCTCATGCTCCCAGTTCCCAGTCGGCACCTTGAAGTCCAATGACGCTGGAGGTGTAGTGTCCTTAGGGTGCTTCTCCATCTTCTCCACCTTCTCTACCTTACCCCTCTTTCCCTTCGGCGCCGCTGCGCTACCTGAGGGTGCGCGCCCACGTTTACGGGGCGGGGCAGTTTTGACTTTCTCAAGTTCCCTCGCGGCTTCATCGTTGACGAACTCGCGGCCGCCTATTTGGTTGTAGTAGTCCTCCACGATCTCGGTCGCAGTCCTGTAAAGGTTAGTGATGCTCGCTCGTATGGGAGAGAATTGCGCGAACGTACGCAAGATTTTCCTCGGGTTCCCAAGTCATGTCGCTCGGGCGGTTGTAGCCTTCCCATTTAACTTGGAAGCGAATCTCGCCCTGCTCATTGTTAGTCAATGTCCTGGCGGTGTCTAGCCAATGACTATACTGACGTCTTCATCGAACATGTGATTCTTAATAGATTCGACGACGAATCTGCGATGCAGTTAGTCGCATTACTCCAAAATATGCAACTGATAACATACACGTCCTCCTCAGCCTCCTCATCCTCGTCTTCCTCCTCCTCCTCTTCTTTGCCCTCAGCTCTTACAGCCAAGATCTCATCTTCCTCATCATCGCTAGCCTTCTGTGACATTTTCTTTGCATGGCCGTTGCTCGCTCCGGAAGGTTGGTCGTTGTTCGCTTCGAGTGTAACCTGGGCCTCGACCTTGGGGCTCCCGCTCTCACTCTCCGATAGCGCTGAAGCGGTTAGCATCTGTATCGGCTCAATATAGCAGCAGTGTAGTGAAATTGGAATTCGTAAAGTTTCCAGAGCTTTCCAAGCTGAAAACAGACAATCCTCTTACTAACCAGGAGGCATGATTGCTTTGTGTTGACGTGTCGCACAGGTCGGAAAACCCTCAATGGAGCCTCTAACTCGATTCTTTGTCCTTTGCTATACTCAAAGGATATGCGCCAATATCAGGTAGTATGATCAAGTGTGACGGGTTGCTTGCGACAGACAGGTATGAAGAAGGATGGCTGGATTGGAGTAGTTGTCGTGTCGCGTTGGATGCAATAATGAACCCCGATAAGCGTGTGTGTATTGTTCTAAAAAGTAGATGCCTGAAATTACGGTGAAGTTGAGGTGAGGTCATGTGACCGTATTACAACACACCCCCGTTGGGGGAAACGGACATTCCCGTGGGATACGGTGGACACACGAGTCGACAGTGGCGCCAGGCTATTGAAAGCCACTGACTGAGCTCAGAGAGCTCAGCTCGTCAGGGTCTTAGGGGTTTCCCCCAGGCCTACAATAGCGTACATAGGCCCGTAGATTAGGTTGTAATTCAATTGATTATATTATACTATTTTACTGTACTCTACTGTGAAGCTTCTGCTCCGTTGCCCGAAGAGACTGATTACGGTTGTCGGAGATTACCACACAAATTCGTGTGTAGTTCCCCGTATTCCGCAATTACCTCCAACACCCCCCACGTATCCCAGCTCTACAGTAGTAATTTACAGGGATAGAAGAGATAGGTAGAAATAGAAAACCAAAAATAAAACGGTAAATGAAAATTGGGCAAAAACTCCATCTACCCGGTAAAAACCCAAATAAACTCTATCTACCCGGTCGATTACCACGTGACCATCCCCCACCCAATCCACCCGTAAATCCCCCTGTTCTCATATGAGAACAGGCCGTAAACCCCCCATAACTCCCCCCGTAACCCCCCCTGTAAACTGACCTGTTCTAATATGAGAACAGGTCAATTGTGAGGCCTGCGGCAAGTCCTGGCATTGTGCCCAGGCTCGCCGCAGGTGCCGCAGCGTGTACGGACCAAGTCCGGTGTCATACTGACATTCGTTGCACTCAGTTTGCTATCAAACTCAAGAGCAAACTTGGAAATCTCCTCCTCAAACCTACAAGTCACTATACATATTTTGGCTTATCACACCAATGTAATGGTGGGTGCACCAGATATGAGAATCTAGCCACCCAAGGAAGGGATGAATTTACTAAGACAACACACTGTCTTAGGAAACAGAGCCAAAGGGTTGTAGCTTAGACTATTCCACAACGCAGCAATCAGGTGTATGATGTGGTGAAGTGGTTTAGACAAGTTGCAACAAATGTTGAGTCTGAGAACTCAGGGGTAAGTCAGAGGTTAGCACCTCACTGACTTTTCAAAAACAGAGAATAACAAGATCAATGCTTGGAAGCTTGGAAAAGACGTAGAAGTATGTGCTAGTCGATTTACTGTATTGCCTGCTTGCCCTTTCTTAAGGAAAGGGCAATCCTATTTATGCCAAAGGAGTGTAGTTCTCTCATTTTCCATGACTTTCCATGACTAACCAGGCTTGGTAAATGTATTAGAAATCAAGTGCGACCCACAACTAGCTTGCTAATCATGTAGTGAACGTAAGAGAATCCCATAGAACCATCTCTTGGGTTCCTAGCCTATAGGAAGTGAAAAGGAGGTCCAAGGTCAGAGTACCTATAGACAAATTATGTCATAACTTAACCAATCTTGTGGGTAACTAAGGAGCGATGACGTGTAATGAATCATAGAGGGTTGTAGAAGCTTCTAGAGCTATCGTTCATGTTCCTAGGCCTCTAGTTGGTAGAGATATGCCATGTGGTAGTATTGACCCACCCCCTTAAGGAGGAGATTTTCTTAATAACTTGTTCAATGAGTGTCCAAATGATATGCCGTGATGTATGTAGCATAAACAGATGTAGTAGAAGAGTTTGCAGCAATCGTTGAGTAGTATTGCTTCTGTTGTTGGTGTGATAAGCCAAGATATGTATGGTGACTTGTAGGTTTGAGGAGGAGATTTCTAAGTTTGCTCTTGAGTTTGATAGCAAACTGAGTGCAACGAATGTCAGTATGACAACCAACAACAAGAGCAATACTACTCAACGATTGCTACAACCATCTATGATTCATTACACGTCATTGCTCCTTAGTTACTGGGCCGATATTACCACATAGCATATCTCTACAACCCTCTATGATTCATTACATGACATCACTCATACTACCACATGACATATCTCTACCAACTAGAGGCCTAGGAGCATGAACGATAGCTCTAAAAGCTCCTACGAACCTCTATGATTCATTACATGTCATCGCTCTTTAGTTACCCACAAGATTGGTTAAGTTATGACATAATTTGTCTATGACATAATTTGTCTATAGGGGTACTCTGACCTTGGACCTCCTTTTACTTCCTATAGGCTACGAACCTAAGAGATGGTTCTATGGGATTCTCTTACGTCGACTACAGTTACCAAGCCTGGTAATCATGGAAAGTCTTGGAAAATGAGAGAACTACACTCCTTTAGCATAAATAGGATTGCCCTTTCCTTAAGAAAGGGCAAGCAGACAATACAGTAAATCGACTATCACATACTTCCACGTCTTTTCCAAGCTTCCAAGCATTCATCTTGTTACTCCTTGTTTCTGAAAAGTCAGTGAGGTGTTAACCTCTGACTTACCCCTGAGTTCCCAGACTCAACATTTGTTGCAACTTGTCTGAACCACTTCACTACATCACACACCTGATTGCTGCGTTGTGGAATAGTCTAAGCTACGACCCTTTGGCTCTGTTTTCTAAGACAGTGTGTTGTCTTAGTAAATTCATCCCTTCCTTGGGTGGCTAGATTCTCACATCTGGTGCACCCACCATTACACAGGGCTAGGGTTGGAGTAACCGAGTCGGGCCCGTTTCGGATACTCAAGGAAACAGACTCAACGGGGTTCCTCCTTCATCTTTTTGTATCCTTCGTAGTAGACCTATAGGATAGCATCCGTTTAGCCTCCGACTCGCACTCTCATATGCTATTACTGTGAGCTGGGTGCCCTGTGTCCTTACACTTTCCTCTATCTGCTTTCTTACATGTTGTTAGTTCAAACATGTGTTTAAGCTACTTAACTCCATGTAGATTGCTTGTCTATCCTTTTGAATTTACAGAGAAGTACTACTTGCTTATAACTTATAGAATCTAACTTTGTAACACGTTTTGTCCCTTAAATATAATGAGGGGGTCGATGGTTGTGCCATCTATACATATACAATTTAACTATAGAAACCCATTCTTACTAGCCTTAATGTGCTTGATAGTAGAGAATCCACAATAATTCGAGTGCTCTCTATAGTTCTAATTAAAGATCCTGTCTTATCCATGTTATATATGTTCCGGCCCAGTCGCGAATAATTCATATTCGCGAATAGGCTGGCCCATTCGCGAATGGGCCAGCCCAACCACGAATATGAACCTCCGCGAGCGGGCCGGCCTATTCGCAAATGGGCCGGCCCAACCACGAATAATAGTAATAGTAAAGTAGTAATTAAGAATCTATATACTATTACCAACAGTGTCTGCTCTTTTTAGAGTACAGTTCTTACACCGCTTTATAATGAACTCTACTTCTTCTCTCTTTAGTCCATAGAACTTTTGTTGTATGATATTCCATGTTTTTGTACGGCCTGCGTGTAGGAGTTGTAGGTGTTCGTTGATAATAGTATCAAATGCATCGCTCTCAAGAATTACACATCGTTGTAACGCTGACTTCTAAACGATAGAAGACACAGAGGTTCTCTTGCGTAAAGGTTTACTTATCAGAGGAGGCAGGGGATCAGACACAAAGGCTTCAAGTAACACGTTACTAGTATATAACAAATACTGTATTGAGTTGAGCACGAAGCTCCTATCTAAGGAAATACTATCTACTTATATAGTGGCGTCGTGCCTAGTGGACTCTTGGGAACTCACTCGAGTCCTCGGAGTCCTGGACTCTTAGGACTCTTCTCATCATCCTGCGAGTCCATCACGTGCCTAGTGGACTCCTGGGAACTCACTCGAGTCCTCGGAGTCCTGGACTCTTAGGACTCTTCTCATCATCCTGCGAGTCCGTCACGTGATACTTTCGGAACTACTATTCCCCGCTGCCCCTCCAGGTACCAGGGCCGGTCTCATGCGACCTCCCTCCATCCTGTCCTGTAGTTGGCCAGCCTTCTTGTTCCGTCGTAACAATCGTGGGTTTTGAAACCTAGTAGGAGCTTATTATGTAGAAGCATAAACTCTGTTTGCGCACGATGCTTAAGTCGTGATTCAATAGGATTTGCAGGTTTCATTGATGGGTTCTGAAGATAGAGGAGTAATTGACAGTATTTTAAGTAGTCTATCCGCTCTCTATTACTATAGCTAAAGCTATAAATATAGGTTTGAAAAGCAGTGCGCACATCCTGAGGAAATGGATTAATCTGTGCAATAGTAGGGTCTTCCATATTGATGAAGTTGATATAATAGATCTATCTACAATATCTATACTATATTACCCCGCATAGGTTGGGCATCATTCGCGGTTGGGCCGGCCCATTCGCGAATAGGCCGGCCCGCTCGCGGAGGTTCATATTTGTGGTTGGGCTGGCCCATTCGCGAATATGAATTATTCGCGACTGGGCTGGAACATATATGTTCTGCTCTTGTATATAAAGACGTGTTACAAGGTCCTTATACACGTCAAACCACCCTATTACAACTTCTTTTGTAACCCTACTGATCCTTTATGCTTCAACTCTATAGCCTAGTTGTACTTGTAGATGTGGATGTTGTTTAATAAAGCATAGGACCTGTCTTGTCCTAAAGGAAAGTTGGGAATTTGTTCATAGTAGTATTAGTCGTGTTTGTAAGGACACAGGGCACCCAGCTCACAGTAATAGCATATGGGAGTGCGAGTCAGAGGCTAAACGGATGCTATCCTATAGGTCTACTACGAAGGATACAAAAAAGAAGAAGGGGGAACCCTGTGAGTCAATTCCCTCAAGTACCCGAAACCCATCCGACTCAGTTAGCCCACCCAAATGATCACACGTGACCCCGCAGCTACCCAGAGTCTGCTCCTTAGAATGAGAGACAAGAAGGCATCCTTACAGTGTTAGTCGTGTTAGTTGTGAGGTTGTAAAATGAGGTGTTACGACGGAACAAGAAGGCTGGCCAACTACAGGACAGGAAGGAGGGAGGTCGCATGAGACCGGCCCTGGTACCTGGAGGGGCAGCGGGGAATAGTAGTTCTGAAAGTATCACGTAACGACTTGCAGGATGATGAGAAGAGTCCTAAGAGTCCAGGACTCCGAGGACTCGAGTGAGTTCCCAGGAGTCCACTAGGCACGTGACGGACTCGCAGGATGATGAGAAGAGTCCTAAGAGTCCAGGACTCCGAGGACTCGAGTGAGTTCCCAAGAGTCCACTAGGCACGACGCCACTATATAAGTAGATAGTATTTCCTTAGATAGGAGCTTCGTGCTCAACTCAATACAGTATT